ACCAGGCCCTCTCATTTCCTCTCCCTCTAGCACCCTCCCCACCTGCTGGAAAGTTCATGGTTTGTAAAAATCTCCATCATTTTAAGCAAAATTTAATATCAAATCCTTTTGTTTGACTTTGCTTTTTTACATTAATAGTCTCAATAAAACCTAGTAGATTGAAATTATAAAATTAAAACTATGGCCCGGCCAGTGTGCCTCAGTGGTTGAGTGTGGACCTATGAACCAGGTCACGATTCCAGTCAGGGCACATGCCCGAGTTGCAAGATCAATCCTCAGTGGGGGACATGCAGGAGGCAGCCAATCAATGATTCTCTCTTATCATTGATGTCTCTATCTCTCTCCCTCTCCCTTCCTCTCTGAAATCAATAAAAATATATTTTAAAAAATTATAATCCAAGTTGAATTTATTTTATTTTCTTCCCTTCCATTTTTACAATAGATAAGGACCCTAGCTTCCACTCCCCCCGCCACCAAAAAAACCCACCAAAAAACCAGGAAGTGTCAAAAATAAAATAGGAAATTGGTTTAGTTACTAGTAAAACTTACAGAAATCAAGTGAATAAGAGGTGAGAAAGATTGCCTGCCACTTTACAAATAAGCAGTGCACTGGTTGAAGAGGCAGTGCGGACAGTGGAGTCAGTAGATCTGGGTTCGAATCCCCATTTGCCATTTACTAGCTGCAACCTCAAGCTATCTCCCTTGTAAAATGAGGCTCATAACACGAACTCTTGTAAGGCAGTCAGAATTACATGAAAACCTGACTCCAGCGCTTAGCACAGAACCTGGCCCATGTGGCAGCCTCAAAGGACTGGCTGCCCTACCCCTTGTCTTATTGCCTGGCACATCAGGGCTAACATATCAGCTTGAGGTGCATATACAGTACCTAATTCCTAAGGTTGCCAAAAGATTCTCCCTATCCCCACCGACCTTAGCCTCCATCAAAAACCATAAGTATTAGAAAAAAAGTGACAGTCAATAGATTGTCATAGAACTCAGTGACCAAACAATAAGAATCCATGACTTCCGTATCTTGATGCAGGATCCTACCCAAGGGAAACATGGCTAAAATCCAAGAGACAGAAGGAGAGTCCAGGCATCACCCGGTTTATAAGATAAGCCTTCCAAATTCTGAGCTGATCTACACCTACCAGTTTGTTACACTAACTCTTTTTTCCTTTCTCTAGAAAACAGATGAGGATGCCATTGATTTTGACTATACAGTCCTACTCCATGAATTCTCAACACAGGTAAAACACAACATTATACGTAGACTTGTTTTTACCAGAATTTTTTGCAGCTCTTAATGTTTTAAAACCCCTATTTTCTAGGAAATCATTTCCTGTCGTATTCACTTGGTCTGGCACCCGAACAAACCCCTTAAAGTGAAGTACCACTGTCAGGGGCCGCAGGCACCAGAGGAAGCCTCTGGAATTGAAGAAGGATCAGCTGCGGCACCGACGACGGGACTGATCAATTACTGAAAAGGAAAGAAGACGACCTGCTATCCCAAATCCTAAACACAGTGACTGTACAAAGTAGCCTGTCATTATTCTAGTAAAATAGCCAGTGTCTAAGGCATCCTAATAATTCGGAAAGCCTGCGATGCTCAACAATGAAAAGATACTGGGGTTTTTAAAAGATAATATATTTCAATGAAAGCCAATTGTAGGGAAAATATTATCTGTTTAAAAGGAATTATACTATTTTTATGATTTTAAGCAAGTATTCTTTTATAACTTGATAGCTACTTTTAAATAAATGTTTACATTTCTAAATCAACTGTGTTAAGTATGTTTGTAGAGATTTGTAGGCAAATTCTGTGCTAAGATGGATTTAAATGAACTCTTAATATTGTTTAATTCATATTTTACAAATAAAAATAGAGCGTCTCACAGATAAAGCCTAGTGTCTGCAAACATGTATTAAATGGGACAGTGATGTAACTGTAAGTATAGAAAGTATTTACAGTTTTCACTTTTAAGGACAACTTGGACCCAGTGTTGGCATAAGTAATTTACAACAACAGGGGGGAGAGATTAACCGGGGAACTTATATGCATATAAGTGCATAGCCCATGGAACCAGACAACAGGGTGGCGAAGGGTGGGTGTGGGGAGGAGGTAGTCAATGGGAAAAAAACAAACACAAAGGGGACATCTTTTACTTTTAACAATAAAAAAGGGAAAAATGTACAACAGACACAATATGTACGTAATCCGATTCTGTGGAGTACCTACTTCCCCAAAGGTAGGCAGAAGGTAGGCAGAATTGGTCTAGGAAATGTAGCCAACACTTGCCTCTCAAAATTAGTGTTATTTAATGGACTGCTTACATTTGTGTGTGAAAACCGGTAGCCAGATTCCTTGGCTAGTAAATTGGTTAGGAAGCATCAGCCTTAAAATATACCAAATCATTCATTTTAAGTCTTCACACAGAAGAGAAACAATTTAAAGTCATGGGTTCTTACAAAATGAAAGATGGATGATACTGTTACTTTTTAGTAGATCTAGTTTATATATATATATTTTTTAAAACCCCAACCCTCTACATTCATCTTCCCAACAACCACTCGACTTAAAGAGCAGTAAGTATTCTGAAGCACTGGGAGACAGTCATTTAAAGAAAACATCAGATTCCCCACCTGTGTCATAACGCAGAGAAAATATTTTTCTAAAATAGCAATCTATAATGATTAAGTCATGCCCAAACCAAAGGATAAACTCCTCTAACTGAAGTTCCCTACATAATATTAAAAAATGGTGCCAAGAGCATTGGAATGGCATATTCAATGCCCTGTGGTCTTTAGCTTAAGGGCTAGAAGGGTTTCAGCTTTCCAGAGTCTCACCTCACCCTCATAAAGGCATTTTTAATTAGTGAGATTACACTCAAGTATAACCATCATTCAAGCAGGTAAGAACTCTAAGGTAACCCTTTAACAGGTTTATTTCAGTGTAATTGATTATGAAGGGGAATTATACACACAGAGACAATGTACAAACACAATTACCTAATTTGTAAATTTACAAAACCCACAAAAGTTAAACCTACTAAAAGTTTCTCAGTATCACCTTAGAACATCTTTTCTAACAAAAACTCTAAAAATTGCTGATTTGATTTTAATAATACTGATTTTGCTAGCTTACTGCAGAGGAAAATTACTTCACTGACCTTGACATAACATGAAAAACTCTAAATTCCCCAAGCCCTCTTTCATTAAGTCCAAATTCTGAATCACTCTGAGCCAATGACAGTTACATAGAGCATCACATTCATTTTCTTAGCCTCTTTCAGAACTTTAAAACATACCCAATAGTACCAGGATTTTGTCTACATTCTATTTGATTCTACACAGTTTCATTTTTTCTTATCTGAATTATGAATTGTTAGAAGTTAAATAAGTTCTTTTGAGAGTCAGTTGGAAGTTTCTACAGTTGCCCTTGAATGATAGTCCTTCATGACATGAGTTTATTACATCAATTTTTTCTCAGCTTAGAACCTATTCTGTGACCTTCCCTGGCTTTCAGAGTGCTACAGTCACCTAACTTATTTGAATAATGTTCCCTGGCACTTACTTGAATAAATGTTCACAACAAATTGTCTTGAATACAATTAACTGTTTCAATGATGCATTCCAGTGTTATTTGTTTGAAAACACTTTAAGCGGCAATTAAAGCTCAAATTCAACAACTTATAGTGTTAGCAATACAAATAGCTGTCTTCTACAAAGAGATGTATTCCATCATGTCATAATTTACTACTACCTCGTGGCTGCCTAGTTTCACTGACATAAATTTTAAGACTCATCCATATTTCAAAAATATTAAAATAAAACTTCAGAATTAACAAAACTTCAGTGATTTCACAACTAAACAATCTGAGAGTGAGCAAGAAGGAAAGCAATAACAGAAAATTGCCTGTATTTCTTTTAAGATACAGTTATCAAACTAAGAACAACTAGCCCAAACTCTAACATCACACAAAAGAATTAGTTATAGGACACATCTGAATCAATCTTCCATTTCACATCTTGAAGGTGCAGGCAACACTGCAGTTGTCTTTAACCTTACCTGCTATTATAATCACTTGGGAAACTTTTGATCTTGATCCAGAGAATCAGACCACCTGGGGTTGGCCTGGGTGTTTCTTTCAAAGCTCCCCAGGTGACTTTCTAAGAGTGGTAGGGACAGGAATCAGGGCAATACTGATTGTGCTGCTACCATTCTTCAATACAAGCAATACCGTCTTTCTTTAAATTAACCAACAATTATCCTTCACAACTGTAGTAGTCCCCATTGATTTCTTTCTCACTACAGACCTTGGCTGATAAGTGGTCTTTAATCAACTATAACCTAATGAGTTAGCAAGAAGTGTGGGTTCTGGTCCTGGATTTGTTCCAATGAAATCCTATTCTACTTACTCCCACCAGCTGGACCTGTGTCGTTGCCTATGAAATGTTGGTGTTGGATTAGATAACTATGCTCTTTTCTGACACTATATCTTTATGACCAGAATGTTTAACAAGTTAAAAACATCAACATTTGCCCATCTTAGTTCTAATTTTTATGACTGCTGGCAATAGCCAGAGGAACTGTGCTAAATTCCATGAAAGTATTTCTTCCTCAGGAACAATATTCTATGTTATTTTGAATGGCATGAGATGCTGATGAAATGCCAATGCAACAACATTTTTCAGGCTTGATGGTATTGTAGCAACAGACATATTCATAGGGAAAATGTACTTGAGATGATGAATTTAAGTTATCAATTGAAAACTGACCGAGCTGCGTGGTCTTAGACAAGTGATTTACCTTCTCTGCACTTTTGCTTCCTCTATTACAAAATGGACCAATAGTACCTACTTTCACAGGGGAGTGAAAACTAAATTAGATAATGCATTTAAAGCACTTAGCAAATGCCTTGAAAACATGTGCTCAATACTTTTAAAAAATCTTTTTTTCTAGAAACCTTAAGTTATAAAACCAAATCAAGGAAAACAAAGGAATTTAAACGTTATTTTATTTCCATTATTCACTAAGGAAAATAATTTGGATAAGTCTGTTACATCACATGATTTCGGGATGAAGCGATTCTGAACAATATGGTAGAATTGCCAGGGAAGTCCAACTTATTTCAAAAACAAAAGCTTAACATTTGTTCTTTCATGATCTCAATGAGTATAATATGATAAATTCCAAATTCAACTAGCACTCAGTAGGTGAATGAACTGATTAGGCAGGAACTCTGAAACGTGTATTTCATTATTTAGAGCTGCAGAAACCTTCAGATGAACATAAGTGAGAATTGCATGTGCAAGGGCCTGTTTTTTACCTCATAGGTCCACAAGAAAGAAACATCAACACTCCTAAAAGAAGGCAGCTACACATTTGCAGATGAAAACAATCAGCTCTACATAAAACAGCTAGAAATTTAGAAGGCATTTTAATATACCAATGAAGAATCTGAAAAATGTACTCTATTAAGACCATATGGAACCTACTCTTAAATAAAAAAGCCTGCCTGTTAAAGATGACACTCCAAGAAGTGTCATGATATGTGCAATTCACTTTCAAGTGTTTAGCAAAAAAATAATTTTTTAAAAATTTAAAAATTAAAAATATAAAAGTATGAGACATATAGACAACAAACAGATAAAACAAATATTGCAAAACAAATAATCAGATTAACAAATTGTTAACAAAATTGCTCATTGTTGAAACTAGATGGACGGTATATGGTTGTTCTTTCAGTTTTTCTTTATTAAAAATTCTTATGATAAAAATTTGAAAAGGAAGGTTACACACATCCTAAGCCTAGACGTGTAACTGATATGTCTCTTCCCGCTTAAAATAAATATAAAATATATAACAGTAATAATCATATTTTATTTGAGTTTTTTTCAGTGAACTATAAAACCATTCAATAGAGTTGAGATATACCTGATACACAGAATTAACTTTGATATGATAGGAGCTCCTGAATATAATAGAAAGGGCTTCTAAAATTTCTTGTTTATGCCTGAATTCATTCCACTGCGAGCTATTAAAATATCCAAGCCCTGCAGATTCAGTTAAAGTTAGCCAATGTAAATGAGTAAAGTTAGTTCTTTGCTTTTCCTTTTTTTATAGGAAGTTGACCTGTAGCTTCCAAATACTTATTAATGAGGTCCTCTTGTGTGGCTGGTAAACATGGCTGGTATCTGCAGTACTCCATTGTGTACTCTCCCTTCCCCTGGGAGTTAAAAAAAAAAAAAGAGATTTAAAAAAACTTTTTATAACTATCAGGTAAAGTCGTGCAAAGACAAGATTTCACAAATTCCATCCTTTTGTAGAGTAGTCTCTTAAAGGGCACTAAAGTAAAACTTAAACACTTGCTTACCTCTGTACATGACCTAAGCTCAGTGGAATAACCAAACATATCATTTAGAGGGACCTAGAAACAAACACAGTAGATATTTTAGCACTGCTTTTTGAAAATATTTGAGATAAAAACAGAAAATAGCCATTTAATTCCTTTAGACCAGTGGTCGGCAAACATATTAGTCAACAGAGCCAAATATCAACAGTACAACGATTGAAATTTCTTTTGAGAGCCAAATTTTTTAAACTTAAACTATATAGGGAGGTACATTGTTATTAACTTAATTAGGGTACTCCTAAGCTGGCCTTTGCTAAAAACGTGGTATTTTGTGGAAGAGCCACACTCAAGGGGCCAAAGAGCCGCATGTGGCTCCCGAGCCGCGGTTTGCCGACCACTGCTTTAGACTTAGGTTTCTACTAACAACTCTTATTTTAAAAGAACTTTAGCCAAAGAGAAACTCATTTTTGTTTTACTGCAAGTAGAAATCCTATTTGAATATAATTTCATGACAGTCACAACTAGAGACCAAATGTTTCGGTTGCACACAGTGGCCATCACGGACAGCCTTCCCTCCATCCCCACTCCACTCTCTGGCCAGCTCAGCACTCAGAAGTGTTTCTCCTGTGAAACTGTTCAAACAACTTTCCTTGGGACACCTTGATGACATGCTGACCGCACTGTCTTCTAGGAAGCCTTCTGGAATGTGATAAAAGACTTTCTCCCGGGAGATTTAAGTCAAGAAAGGAAATTAAATATTAGCCCAACAAATTAGAACTTAAATAAAGCACCTTTGCAAATAAAGCTATAATGAGAAAGATAATTAAATATCTAAGAAAAGAACATATTCACAAAAGGCCTACATGAAATGAACTATATTTTCAGCTTTTGCACTTAAGAGTGGCTCTAACAGCAAATTATAGAAATTGCCATATATATATAAAAGCCACAAATTCAACACTCAAATAGCCAGGGAAATGTGTCAATTCGTTCTACAATTTCCCAAAACAAAAGCTAACTCTAATTTCCTGCTGTGGTTAATAAAAGCAAGACTGGCAGTGACCAACAGTACTTACATCTGCATACAGTGTAAAATAGTCCTCAACTCCATCTTGTCCGGTGATTACCCCATGGCGCCGGTTAATTCCTGCAATCACTGTTCCCTGAAATTCATTCGGGGCCACAACTTCCACAGACATAATGGGTTCAAGAATACATAATGTTGCATTTGCTAAGGCTAGATTTAAAAAAAAAATAGTTTATTAATATTTAAACAAACTGGAACACTTTCCTATCCAGATATACAAAAAGGGAGATAGAAGGTACTCTCCCAAAGGTACACACAAAAATGACAAGGTTAAAATATTTAATCTGGTCTCATTTTTCTGATATCAGTAACAGTCACTCTTCAAATGGAAATTTCAATAAGACAAAGCTAAGTTTTAGTATTTCATTACTGTATTTTTAACCTTAAAAATCATTAAGCTACAGAGGATAATATAAAAGGGGTCTTAAAACAATACTAAATACTAAAGTCCTTTACCATTTCAATCATGCAGTTGAGAGTTACTTATTCTCTCTGAAAATCTGCAGGAGTAAAGACACTAACTGTTAAGTCTTTGACCAAGGTAAGCCAATTCTTTCTTGTTGGTAAACAATAGATGATAATTGAACTGAGAAGTTTGGTTACCCAAAATGTTCACCCTAAAACTCTCAGATGGCATTCAATGGAGATATATGCTTAAAAGCTGATTTTCTTACTGAGCTTGGCAAAAACTTTATTTTACCCTTTATATTTCTGTCTTTCATGGAGAAATAAGAATTGGATGAAGAAATAGCAAAGTAATTAACTTTTCATGTTAACACCCTGCCTATTTGCACGTTTACCTGGCAAACAACAATAACGGCCTCCCTCCCAAAAACTTCTCAATTCAATTATCATCTAGTGCTTTTCCTTTGCATATCCATACTTAATCATATCTATACACTTAAATAATTAAAAATTAATAGTACATATTCAACTTTTAGTTAATATTCACAAATATACAGGCTTTTCTCATGGATGTATATGTGTATATTATAGGCATATACATCTATATCTATATTTCAAATAGGAACAATTAAAAAAGACGAGGCTTTGCTAATTGATAACCATACCAATTCTCTTGCTTTATGTAACCTCTAACCTCTATCTCCAGGAAAGCTACCAATTTCCAGTTGAGAACCAGCATAGAACTATTGGTGACTTCTAATTTGGTTTAACTGTACTTTTAAAAAGTATCACAAGGCATACATTTACCAAATCATCACGTTACACACTTTAAATATCTTACAATTTTGTCAATTATCTATACTAATAAAAGGGTAATATGCTAATTAGGGCAGATGTCTTCCGGACGTCCATCTGGACATCCATCAGACAAAGCCACAGGGGCTGCGAGGCCTGGGGCTCATGGCAGCCATGGGCTCAGGCAGCCGTGAGCCCCAGCAGCTTCGAGGTCTGGTGCTCAGGCCTCGGAGCCGCTGAGGCTGGCAGTGGCAGCATCAGCAGGGTGATGGGGGTGGTGCCTTCCCCTGATCAGCTCTGTCGCCTCCCGCAGAGGGAGACCAGACTGCGGCTTAGGCCCGCTCCTAAACTGTCAGTAGGACATCCCCTGAGGGCTCCTGGACTGTGAGAGGGGGCAAGCCACGCTAAGCCCCCCACCCAGTGCATGAATTTTCGTGCACCAGGCCTCTAGTACTCCAATAAAGCTGAAAAGAATATTACATTAATCCAACTAAGCTATCAGCTTAAGATTAAAGTGAAGAGGCAGGTGTTTTAATCTCAACCATGGCTAAAAAAGTCTTATTTTCTTTGTAACTTTATTTCCCTTTTCCTGTTCTATATAATAAAAGCTTAATATGCTAAGTGTCCAGTTGTCTGTTCAACCAATCAAAACGTAATAAGCTAATGATATGCTAAGGCCACTCAACCGCTCGCTATGATGTGCACTGAACACCAGGGGGCAGACAGTCGATCTGTCACTATGACATGCACTGACCACCAGGGGGCAGACGCTCCAACTGGTAGGTTAGCTTGCTGCTGGGGTCCAGCCGATTAGGACTGAGTGAGGCAGGCTGAACACGCCCTGGAGCCCTCCTGTGGTCCCTCCCCAGCTGGCAAACCTCCCGAGTCCCTCCCCGGCCCTGATCATGCACTGGTGGGGTCCCTCAGCCTGGCCTGCACCCTCTCGCAATCCAGGGCCCCTCGGAGGATGTCAGAGAGTCGGTTTCAGCCCGATCCCGCAGGCCAAGCCGAAGGACCCCACTGGTGCACACACCAGGCCTCTAGTTTAACATAATCTTTAGATTGACAGGATTTCTAGATCACAGATTTCAACTGCAATTTTAATAGACAGCTGGCATAAAGAAAATGGGAAGATTCTTTCTCTTTCACAACTGAGAAACAAAAACACAAATTACTAATATCTTCCATTAGTTTTAGTAAAATAAGAAATTAGCAACCTAGTCAAGATCTGAGCAACCTTTTCCAACCACTGCCCCCCACCTGATTTCAGGACACAACTTTGAAATTTCTTTGTTAAATAACCCTGAAGCCAAACTGCTGTGTTGTCATTTGCTTTTCTCTCTTAAAAACAATGAATCAGATATGTTTGCAATTGCTTAGGGCTGTTCAAATGCGTTTTAATATACATATTATTCTGTGTGAGAAAGGCTGGCAATTTTAGCAGTTTAGCAAGAAGTCTGCACTGTGAATAAGGTTTACTGAATTCTTTCAAAATACTGTGCCATCCTCAAAATGCCTAAAAGCCTTCAATGTCCTATAAGAAAAAATTATTTATAAATTTATGGAGTTCCTGATATCTGACTAAATCACAAAGAAATATTATGACTGTAGTTAATGTGTCTTTAAAATATTTCTTGGAATTCTGAATATTTCTATCTTTTTATGAAAAACAACATATAGATTGTGATTTTAAACATATAAAAATTAACAGGTAATTTAGGAGAACAAAGTAGGCTTTTAATTTTATATAGTACTCTATCCTCACTTTTGTTCTATGAATATTTGCTCAGGACTAGCCAGGTTCTCTGGTGTGCCACCCAGTGCTCTGGGGAGGGAAGACCAAACCAGCAGGCAAAAACAGTGAGTGATGCGGCGTGTGCTGGGACACAGCTTACCTTGTTTAAGCGCCCCTTCTCCTGCGCGGATGAAAGAGATTTCATTGGAATCAACCATGTGATGCGCTCCATCTTGCAGGACAAACCGGAGCCCAGAGAGTTTGTGACCAGACAGAGGGCCCTTCTCGCAGGCATCCAAAAACCCCTGTTAATGAATGAACACCACTTCTGGAGTGAGTGGATTTCCCTTGCAGATGCATTACCAAGAGCCCCCAAACATTTTAGTATTCAGAAGCTTAACATTTTTATATATGCTATATTTCATGCCTCATTAAAAAGTTTTAAAAAGTTGAACAGCCTACTTAATTATTTTGGCATCTAGATGAATAATCTCTTGGAAAAGGGTATTAGTTAAAGGTGTTAGTTGGTTTGAAAGTGATGCTGAGGGTGGTAACAATCACTTTTTCAAAACCTCATTTTCGGGAATTATATAACTCTCATAACCCACGATAGAGACAGCATGATCTTAATTTTACATGGAGGAAACAGATGAAAGGCAAATCAAAGGAACTCCCCAAAAGAAACCCCCCTCCAAAAGTGGCATTTATTCAACAGCTGCAATTCTTCTTTTTTAAAAAAATAGCTTCATTGAGTTATAAATGACATACAATAAATTATACATATTTAAAGAGTACAATTGGTATGTTCAGTTCTTTTTCATCCAACCACTTAAAATACATATGTAGAGCTCCTACAATTCAAGTTAGTTTTTCTTGGCAAAACAATGACTGCACATACACTACAATATATTTCTCTGATATTTAAAAACTGTAAACTCTGTATGTTAAAAAACAATCTGGCTCTCATTCATCTACATTAATCTTGATGAATAGAAGATAATTCAAAAAGTGTGTGAATGACAAAATATTGTCTTGAAATAAAGAATAATGAATAAAATATGCTAATCACAAAAAATGCTATCACCACTGATACCAAAATTATAATGTTAATAAAGATATAAGTTACAAGGTTAAAAAAACAACGAAAAACCTCAATCTATAAGAACAGATAGTTGTTAAAAGTTTACAGCTGTCTTAAAGCCAGTGACCTAGAAAGCAAACAAAACACAAACCACTTACATGTGCAGAGCACTTCACAACTGGCAAAGAAATGTCAGTCTTATCTGATCCTCAGTTTTGTGAGGGGTTCAAGTTTAAGTATTTCACTCTCACTTGACAGATAAAGAAACTGTCTCTGAACACTGTGATTTACCAAAGAACTAGAGCAGATTTAACAGCAGCACAAGGGTGTTGGCAATCTTAAAGCTCATTCTACAAAGTTGCCTAAAATCTTCATAAATCCCTAATGACTACTGCAAATTTCAATCACTGATTACAATCAATGGAGTAGTTTCAATTTATCAAGAGAAATATATAACTTTATCAACTTAATAAGAGAAAATAATGATGATTAAGAAACAAAATGATTTCCCTTCATTGTTATACATACATTTATAGCTCTTGAACTTAATGAATTGAAGATTCTAAATTGGATAGAAAGCTTAGCAATTAGATAAAGAAGCAGTACTTTAAAATGAACGAGGGAAGACAATGTGAGAGAAATGTGAGTTGATACCTAATAAACTCATGCTTTTTATTTTTATGTGTGTTTTTTGTTTTGTTTTCACCTTTTCTACAGCAGGCACAAATTGTTTGGGAATATTTGACCCAAATGTTTCATCTGAAAACTCCAACTTAGTGTAGTTCTCTGGCTCCAGAGGCTCCAGGACACCTATCACTTTTCCAAACTGGCCTGCACCACCCGATTGCTTTTTATGTGTAAACTCAAACCTAAAAGAGATTTAGGAGAGAAAAAAAAAATCAACATTTGATTTACCATATGTACTTACCACATTAAATCACTCCTACCGATTTAAATGAAAAACCACATTTCATTATTTTTACTTTTTTCTTTGAATATGATGGCCTTGCTATAAAATTTTATTGTAGAATTTATTTGAAAAAGGATCCTTTCCTTTTTGTTTTTACTTAAGAAGTGAGGATAGGATATACCACCAAAATAACCCATGGCCTAAATTCCACCAATTCTGAATTTATTCCCCAAGTAGAAAAATAAAAGTCAAGTAATTAAAATAATAAGTCAGGCTCTGGCTGGTTGTTCTCAGTGGTTAGAGCTCTGGTTGGCCTGCAGACCAAAGAGTTTGATTCCCATCCCCAGCCCTGGTTGGGGCACATGTGGGAGGCCACCAATCGATGTGTCTCTCTCACATCAATATTTCTCTCCCCACCCCCTTTACTCTCTTTAAAAAATTCAACGGGAAAAATATCCTCCAGTGAGGATTAAAAAAAGAAAATAATAAGTCAGTCAGTCTAAGGTTCTTGTTCCAGTAACCGACATTCCGAAGAGCTTACCCATTTCTTTGGAATGCCTCCCTTTCCTGGGATAGTATTCTCTCCTTAAACCTCTACAACCAAGGACAGTTATTTGAAAATGGAAGCTCAGCAGTTAATTTATTCAGATAGTTCCTATCTGGTTTTATTACTTGGACATTATGGACTGATGCAATACAAGAGAAGGGAGTTTTAGGTGAAATAACACCCCAAAAAGATTAATACCAAAAAGATAATAACTAAACATAAGTCATTCAAAGAGACACATATATAAAGCCAGGTTGGTGTCCACTTTAAACCACTAAGAGCAATATAAATAGAACAAAGTAAGCAGTTTACATACATACTAAGCATATGCACTGAGCCAAACCGGCTAGGGCCATACTAAGCATATTTACATAGGCTACTATTTCATTTAAAAAACATTTCATGAGTATCTACTGTTTACAAGGCATTTCTTCCTTTAAAATAAAACCTTCCTCAAGACATCAGGTAGAAGAGATCAGCTCCTTTCAAAACTGTCTTAAGATAACTGTAGAGTGGTGGACATTAATGAGTGCATGTTCCTGCATACATATCTTTGAGTGGTTTGGAAAATGTAAATATCAATTTTGGTAGGAGATGCTAGCTTAGAATAAGCAGATTTCATAAAGAGGCCCCAACAGTGTCTGATAAAATGCCTTTAAATAATCTTCCAGTGGTCAAGAGCTTCAGGATGGCCTGGGATAAACAAAAAGCTAAAAGGTTAATTCCTGGGAGGGATGTAAACAGCCATCAGAATGAAGAGAAGGAAAGCAGAAGAGAAACAACTGCCAAGTCACCACAGGTTTACTGAAGGTTCCAAAACTGTGGTCCACTGACATATTCTCGGGTATGCCTGAGTTTTTGAGACATTTTACATTTTGTTTTCAATTTGATAATAATATAACATCTACACAATATAATCTAGATCTGTGCTATCTATATGGTAACCCATAACCACCGATATTTATATTTAAACTAGAGGTCCGGTGCACGAATTCGTTCACGGGTGAGGTCTGGCCAGCTGGTCCCGCCCCCCATCAGTGTTGGGGGCGCTGATCGAGGCTCCAGTTGGGCCAGTTGGCTGCCACAGTGCGCGTCATAGCGACGGGTCTTTCTGGTCGTTCCAGTCGCTTGGCTTTTATATATATATAAATTGAAATTAAATAAAATGTAAAATTCAGTTCCTCAGATACAGCAGTCACATTTCAAGTGGGCAACAGCCACATGTGGAGAATGTCTACTGTACAGGACAGCAAGACAACATTTTCATCACTGCTCAAAGCTCTATGGCAGAACTGCTGTGGAAGACCCACTCACAAACAAGTCACCCATGCAGCTTCGGGGATGATGTGTGAATTTAAAATCAAGTGGATGCCAAATAACAAAACACCTGTGTGCCAGGTTTGTACCAAGCACTTACTTGTTCTATACCACCAATTGATGTACTGTTTTTATCATTTTACAGATGAGAAACCTAAGGATCACAGAAGGTACGTAACTTGCCAAACATGATATAGCTATATCATGTGCAAAATCCAATGCTCTTAATCAAACATTTTTCTAGAAGGCTAATAAAAAAAGAATATAAAGTGATTTAATCTGCAAATGATGCATTCACTTCAAGAGCCGTTAGAGGGTGCTGCACAAATAGACTGTACACTAGTTCAAATAGAGAACAGGTGGGAGACTATAGGCATGCTGAGAGTTAAAGAACCCAGGCGCCTGTGGTCAGCTCACTGACATGCTGCAAAAGGCAATTTCGTTTTGGCAAAACATCACGTCTCACATTAAAATTAATGTTAGTTAAAATTGTGCTGGTTTTGTTGTTTATTTCTACTTTATAGATTCATTTGGACTTTATAGTCGGACCAAAGTTGTAAACCATAGGTGTTTTTACTTAGTTTTATGTTTATACAGTTATATAAAATCATAGTTTAATTTATCTGATCCCAGAGACCAATAATAATTTTGTTCTTTTTAAGATAACCCATACATTATTTGAGGATAGTGATCTCTTGATAACCATTCATGAAGCTTTAGTAAGATTTCAAGGACTCAAATATAGAAATTATATAAGGAGATTTTCTTAATGTAGTTTATTTAACATTTAAATAGGCAGTTAATTTTTTAATTCAATTATATTTTTAAAAAACTTAAATTGAGATGTGTGCTTTTAATAAATGCTGGTTACATCACAACCTTTACTATTAACCTTGATCTACAGAGATGGCAACTGTATTCATAAAGCTTCCAAATGGTGACCTTATCTAACACAGATGTTAACTAGCTATTTGAGAAACTTTAAAGTTCATTTTCAGGAAAAAGCTCTTTCTGCATCATCAAAAGGTGATAGTCACTCTTTTCTGGACACTATCAAAGGAGCACACAATTCAAACAATTCACACACACACACACACACACACACACACACTCACCCTAAGAGGTTGGCTGATAGATGAATGACTCATACCCTTTCCCTCAAAAGAAAAACAACCTTCAATTTTTTTAGAAAAAGTCTTGAGGAGAAGCTAACCTCTTTGTCCTCTAGTTACTTGACAGTTGTTGGCTAATATTACTAAAAAAGATGGAAATGCCTTACTGCTTCCTTTTTTTAAAAAAATCCATTTATTCCAAAGAAAGACTATAAGTAAACTGAAAAGGGTATTTGAGGAAGACAACACATTACAAATACATTTTTCACTTTTTTAAAGTACCACCAAAACATATGCCTAGCAAAACACAAAAACAAAAATATACCCCTTCAAAAACACATTTTTGAGAAAAAGAGCAAAAGAATCTTTATTTCTAAGCCAACAAGCTAAAGGGCAGGTTTGACCATACATCTGATGAAAAGAAACCTTAGCTTTCTGATCTAAAGAAAATCCAAACAGTCTAAATTATAGCCTCTTTAAAGGTGACCCAAGAAGGTAATTAAAAAATCTAGAGTGAAAATGCACTGCCTACTAAAAGTTTGGGGTTGCTTAAACAAAGGAGCTTTAGAAACCCCTGCTTTTGTTAGAAGCTTCTTCAACGTCCTGGCTCTGTATAAGTTCAGTCTTTAAGGGTGCTTTAATCCTTAAAGTTAAATTTTCAGTGACTAGAGGAAGTTGGAAGCAGTGTTATATCAAAATCTTATCTAAGTCAGTGGTTCTCAACCTTCCTAATGCCGCGGTCCTTTAATACAGTTCCTCATCTTGTGGTGACCCCCAACCATAAAATTATTTTCGTTGCTACTTCATAACTGCAATTTTGCTACTGTAAACAATATGTAATTAAATGTGTGTTTTCCGATGGTCTTAGGGGACCCCTGTGAAAGGGTCGTTCGACCCCCAGGTTGAGAATCTAAGTGAAGGGAGACAGGGGTGCCAGTGCATTTTTTAAACTTCTCCTGATCCAAATTACATAATCCTCCAAATTAATGCTATAGTGTGCAGTCTCTCATACCCTGATTTGGGCAGAACTGGCCCAACCCCACAAAAGCTGGGTAAGAGCAGGCTTGTTCCTGGACTCACAATGGGAGGGGTTAAGAAGGAATAGGCATCTGTTCACTGCAGGGAGCTCCTTTGCACTTTGTCCTGTGTGTGACACTGTGGGTGGTGCATAAGGAAGTTGTGCTCCAGCCTGCAAGTGAAGCAACCGAACTGTCTTTCCACGGAGAGGAATTTAGAGGCTCCATGAAGGTTAAGGCCAAAAAGCCCCTCCCGCACTTCTGCGAAGGGTGACGTCCGGCCGACCAGTCCCCCAGCCCCTCCCCACTCTGGGCCCTCCCCGCCAGATGCAGGGGCTCTCCAGGCGGCGGAAACCCAGAGTAAAAGCACGCAGAGCAGGGCGGGGCACAGGAGCTGCCAGTCCCGCAGCCGGCGCCCTGGCGCAGCTTCCTGAACCGGAAGGAGGGAAGGAAGGAAGGAGGGAAGAAGCAGGCGAGCCCGCCCACGCCCAGCCCAGCGGGGCCAGCCGACTCCTCTGCCTCCTCGGCAACCGGCTGCAGGCTGGGAGGCGAAGGCGGCGCACTCGTACGAACAGACCCGTGCTCTCCCAGCTGCCGCTCGCTCGGCAAGAATGGAAATCCCCCCGACCCACTACCCAGCCTCGAGGGCGGCCTCGGTGGTGGAGAACTGCATCAACTACCAGCAAGGGACCCCCAACAAGGTGTTCCTGGTGCAGACAGTCAAACAGGCCAGCATGGAGGTGAGTCTAGCGGCGCCCACACCGGCTCTCAATACTCCCAAGGGTCCCCTCCCTCCCTCTTCCTTCTGGGATTGGCTGCTGGCTTCAGGTCTACAGGGGTTAACATTTCTGGGGAACAGTCGACTCTCCAGTCTCTGGGGATAGCCTGGGGCCTGTTTGTTTTCAAGGGAAGGCAGAGACACGATATTTTTATGGGCACTGTTACAAGGATCTGGGGAAAATGTTCCCAATGAGAGGCAGCATTTTCCTTCCGACGAGTGAAACCTGTAGGAACCATTCAAAAGAATCTGAAAACTGCCATGACATTGCTCACCTACTACACAATCTGGATCAACAGACGCCCCTATCTTGCAAACGATTCTTCATTTTACGACCAATCCTTATTAGGCCCCTTGACTAAAATGATGGGGGAAACAGAGCAAGAGAAACTGACAACCAGTATCAGTGTGGTGAGAAGCTTCGCTCTAACCACCCAAAGCACTAGTACAACCAACCATAAGTGATGTGCTTGCTCTCTCTGGCTAAAGGGTTAAATTAAATGATAAGACCTCAGCAATCACTAGTCTTGTTTCCATTTTACTAAAATCTCATGGGTTTGAGATTTTTCATTATTTATCTGACATTAGTTTAACAGCCTTTAAGAGCTGACAGGGAGTAGATGTTAACTGCACTAGATAACATAATTAGGTATAAGTGCCCGATTGTATCTTGATTCAAAAGTGAAATACCTAAACATTTGTCTTACTGTTATACAATTTATTAAAGTATCATTTTTCAGGCCCAATAATATACAGGTAAAATCAGAACTTAACAAGTCTAATCACTTTGCAGTAATCTGCCTCAAAATGGAATTCACCGTCACTGAACACGGTTTGGACATAAAGTACCCATAGGACTCTGTGAAAAATCTTTTCAATGATGTATCCTGTTTGCCATCTTTAGACTTAAAAGCTGTTTCAAAATTTCTTCTATAGAGATTTAGGATCACCTATTCAGAGGTTGAAGTCCTCTGACTGAAAGTGAATTGGAACCCATTTTATTTATATATGCTTTCATCCCACCCTTTTTTCGCATCCAAAATAAACTTGATAGGGGTCCTGCTAAATTAGATGTTATATACATAGCAATATGCTTTTATGGTCCAAGGCTTTAATTATTTACCCCCACCAGTCAGGCACCCCCCCCCCCAAATCAAGTAAGAATGGATTCTTCTAACAATGCAGAGAATTGAGTTATTGTTATAATAACTCACTACATTTTCTTAATTTTAGGATATTCCAGGAAGAGGACATAAGTATTGCCTTAAGTTTTCTGTGGAAGAAATTATCCAAAAAGTAAGTGAAATGTCCTTTATTATTAAATAAAATTTAATTCTAAATAATCCAGATCACCTTGGCTGATCAAATCATAGGATTAATTTGTATTTTGTAAGTTGTTAAATTTGTAAGTTGTGAAATCCTGCCTTGAAAAAAAAAATGGCATACAAGGGTCAGTTTTTACTTTTTTTGTGTATTCTGAGATACATGAAGTATTTCTATTGAGCTTTTTAAAAAGTAGACTCTATATACTTCAGTTCAAATAAATTCCCTTTAAAATGTTACGTACTCATAGGGCAATCTGAACTCATGCCAAATATTAACAAGTGAAAAAAATTACTCTCCAATCATCACCTCTTTGCCTTTTTCTCATTCTGCTTTTAATTTCTTGTAATTAAAGAAAGCAAGTGTTTTTAGATATTTATGAGCAATATAATGGCCAACTGATATCGTCATGTTCACATGAGAATCTTTCAGTAATGGGGAGGGAAATTTTTATATACTTCTCAAATTATTAATGAGACAAATTTAAAAGGAAGGACTTGCAATTTGTACCGTAACCATCTTGAAATTTAAAAAAGCTTGCCCTTTTGTTGAGCATATTCAGAAGAGAAGAGATACAGGTTAACATAAGGAGATTCATTAAAAGGCATCTGAGCTGCTAGACAACCATCTTTACAAAGCAGAACCAATGTTACAATCTTCTCATTTTACCTCTAGATGCAGGTTGCTGTATCTGAGTTTGAGAAAATTACTGTTATTACAAGAGCAGAGAGTAAGAGTAATGGAAAGAATTAAAAAGTAACCAGAGCCCTAGCTGGTTTGACTCAGTGGATAGAGCATCAGCCTGAAGGATCCTGGGTTCTATTCCGGACAAGGGCACAGACCTGAGCTGCAAGCTTGATCCCTGGCGCTAGTTGGGCCACATGTGGGAGGCAACCAATCAATGTGTTTCTCTCACATCGATGTTTCTCTCTCTCCATCTCTACCCTTCCACTCTCTAAAAATCAATGGAAAAATATGCCCTGGTAAGAATTAACAACAAAAAGTAACCAGAGTTTGGAGATGGGATATAGTCAGACTAAAATCTAGCATTGAAAATGGACATCTCATTAATACTGAAATATATTCCAAGTTTTAAGACAAATTTAAAAGATAATGAGACCACATGTAGATGTATTTTAGACACATCTAAGAAAATTACTAGGCCAGCCCTAATTAGATTACCTCTGGAGTAGGCATTCTGAAGTCAAGACTGAAACAACACTGTTAGGGGCCAATGATTTAAATATTATATCTCAGAGAACAATAGTAATGGATTTACATGTAAAGATCTTTTGCAAAATGTCTCAAACAGCAAGTGATAGTGAACTGCACAGCTGAAGTTCTTTACCCTCCAATGGGACAAGATACTGCACCAGAAGTCAACTTCACATTTGAAGGAGAAATTGGAAAGAACCCTGATGAAGAAGATAATACATTTTATCAAAAACTCAAGTCCATGAAGGAACCACTAGAAGCAGAAAATATTCCAGGTATATAAATATGGCACGGAGAAATATTTTTTGAACTTTAAGATCAATATCAATGATCTGTGCTCAAAATTATTACATGTTAATATTATGTTGGAAACATATTGACTTTTGCAAAAATATCCATTACCAATCTAATTCAACAACAGAATCTCTTGAAACATTATAGACCATGGCCTAATTAAATTATTTTCTAAACACATTTGAAGGAAACAAAGAGATGATTTAGAATTTAGATTTTGTAAATGGTTAATACTGTAAGTACAAAGTAATTCCATTTATCATGCTTCCCTCTCCAGACAGTTTTGGAAATATATCTCCAGCAATGAAGCCAATCCGACATTTAGCCTGGGTTGCCTGTGGTTATATAATATGGCAGAATTCTACTGAAAACACATGGTATAAAATGGTAAAAATTCAAACTGTCAAGCAAGTGGTAAGTAATGTCTATAAAATTCACTTGTAATAGGGTTAATGTTTACTGAAAGTGCTCTGATTCATTATTAGATCATTAGTGCCCCATTAGTAATTTTGCATTTAAAATAGTGTACCAAGTAATTTGAAGGAGAGGTCAGTTACAGTCAAGGCCAGAGAAAGTGAAGCTGCAGTATCAAGAGAGTGAAGTGTTGTTATAAATAATTTGGCATCAGTTTCTGTGCTCAGCTTAATACAGATTATTTCGTTTGGCAACCTGAGTTTTGTATACAAATTACTAGCCATGCAATATTGAAACTATCTCTGCTGTTTTCTTCTACTGAAATGGTAGTGCCAGAGCTATTAGAAACATGGCTGCCGTTTTCTCTGGGGATCAGCCAGACCAAAAATATTAGCATCTTAGGGTTGTGGAGCTTGCTGTATGTAATTTTCTTTTATAACCCAATGAGTCATAGTTTACAACCTCTTATCTTACTTGTTGCTAGCCTTGTGTTTTCTTAAGTCTGACTATTCTGAACTGCCTCTTTCTAGACCTTAAAGAGATAAAAATAAATTCTTTGATTTTAGCTTTATTAAGGGGTTAAAAAGAGAAAAAAAAGTCTACTTGTGGTATCTAATGGAAAGAAGGGAGACAGTGTACAAAGAAAGCACCACAACAGTTTCAGTCGGCTCCAGAAAAGACAGACTTTCCAGCTTGTTGATACTGCAGCAGCGCTTGGAGCACCTTTACTCCAAAGGCTTCTGCAACCAGTTACTAGATACCTATAGGCACTGGAGGACAGGATACCCTATTACAGTACTCAGAGTGTGGTGTCAGATACCTAACATAAATATTAGAACAACATTTTAAGAAACTGCCCTTTTCTAGTGCATTTTTGTAGACCTCAGTCCTGATTACAACACTCCTATAGGGGTACTGTGGCCTCAAATAACTGTAACTGGTCCAGGTTAAAGAGGCTACATAATTATAATTTTTCAAGCCATGTCTTAATAGCAAAATATGCACAAAGACAGGGCTAGTAGTTTTTATGAAAGAAAACTCCTATGACCCTTCACCAAATGTAGTTTTAAGGCATTAATGAAAATCTCAACAGAAGAGTTTAACCCCTGCTTCAGGCTATATATATATTACTAGAGGCCCAGTGCATGACATTGGTGCTGGGGGGGGGGGGGGGGGGGGGAAAGGGGGTTCCTCAGTCCGGCCTGTGCCTGCTCCCCATGGATCTAAGCGCTGCCAGCTGCCATGGAGGTGGGCCAGTGGGCTCACCAGCAGTCCGCCTGGCATGTGGCTGAGCTGTGCTCCCCCTGTGGGAGAGCACTGACCACCAGGGGGGCAGCTCCAGTATTGAGCGTCTGCCCCCTGGTGATCAGTGTGTGTCATAGTGACTGGTCATTCCGCCATTCAGTTGATTTGCATATTACCCTTTTATATAGGATATCTTACCTAGTAAGACCCAACATGTAAGAAACCTTAATACTGATTTTTACCGTATCTTTTAAAGGACATTCTTTGCTGATATACTCAAAGAAAGAATTACTTCAGGATACCATAAGGAGAGAATTGTATGCTTTTATTTGACCCTGGGGCCACATTTATAATCACTGTTCACCAAAGGGTGTACTACAGGAGCTTGTGCTGCTTGGAGTCCAGGGCTTATTTCAGTATATCGATTATGTAAGCCAGGGGTCCTCAAACTACGGCCCGCGGGCCGCATGCAAATACAAATATTGTATTTGTTCCCGTTTTGTTTTTTTACTTCAAAATATGTGCAGTGTGCATAGGAATTTGTTCATAGTTTTTTTTTTAAACTATAGTCCAGCCCTCCAACAGTCTGAGGGACAGTGAACTGGCCCCCTGTTTAAAAAGTTTGAGGACCCCTGATGTAAGCCCTAAAGAGTCCTGCCTCTGGTCATTGTGGTTTTAACTATGTAGATGCAATATTTGTGTTGCTGATAGTATAAATACTTTATATGCACAAAGCAGTAAGCACAGATTAAAGCTTTAATTACAAACTCAGATAACTACACTCACTACATTTTACTATTTTCAGGCTTTTTTTGTGTATTTTTTTTTTATCCTTACCTGAGGATATGTTTTTCTTGATTTTAGAGAGAAAAGAAGGGAAAGAGAGAGAAACACTGATGTGAGAGGGGAAACATCAATTAGTTGCCTCCCACGTGAGCCCTGACCAGGATCAAACCTGCAACCTTTTGGTGTACAGGACAACACTCCAACTAACTGAACCACCCAGCCAGGGTTATTTTCAGTTTTTTAAAAATAATTTCTATAATAAAATTGGTTTCCTTTCATGTAAACACTTATTTCAGTAGTTTATCCCTTCAATTGTGCTTTTCTGAACAATGTAAACATTAAGGCATTTTAAATGACCAACTATAGACTGTAATACTCTTAAGTAGTTACCACAACTAGGACACTATAAACAGAAAGTAGAGTAACAAATGAAAAGTCATAATTTTAAATTGTAGTTTGAAAAAAACATTTGTAAGAGAAAGTTTTTCTGACAGGCTAAATTATGACATTCAATTTTTATTTTTACTTAAGTGGGAGTATTATAAGCATCTAATAAAACATGATTTTTGAAATTAAAATATCGTTTTGCCAATGATATTATTTTATACACCAGGTTTTTAATTTATTATAGCAAAGAAATGATGACTTCATTGAGTTAGACTACACCATTCTACTTCATGACATTGCATCTCAGGTAAAGTACCATTTATTTACTTTTATTTGATGCCACTTTGAAAATTGAGACCTGTTTTATAACCACAGTATGCTGTATTAATTTTGACTCTAAATCACAATTCATGTAAATTCAATAGGCACCAAGTTGAAGTATTCTTGCAATTTAACTTGTTTTGTGCTCTTCTTTATGAGGACTATTTTGTTTCTAACAAGACATAAACCCAACTCTGTTTTCTTAAGGGTTTTCTGAATTTTATTCTAGCATTAGTTTCCTTTATTTGCAGGAGATTATTCCTTGGCAAATGCAAGTTCTCTGGCATCCACAATATGGCACTAAAGTAAAACATAATAGCCGTCTGCCAAAGGAAGCACAACTGGAATGAAAGAAGACCCCCAACATTGGATGAAGTGTCAGTATGCTTACTAATGATGTGTATGTCAACCTTCACTGATATCGAGCTGAAGGGGCCAAACAAATCCCTAATGTCACTCTGTATAAATGTCTTAGCTACAGCACAGAACTGTATAGCTTCCATAATAAAGAGTGTCATGATGTAAAAGTGTCTTAATAACAGTAATAGTACTATGTATATCCCACAATAAAAAGCTTCAATTCCAGCCTCATAATAGGTTTGACTGTGTTGCATACTTACGGGACAGGGGCAGTAATGGTCTCTCTGAAAGCAACTTTTGGCTTTCCTGTGATACAAGGGCAGCCATATTCTCTTTCCATCCTCTAAAAATAGCAGGAGAAATAATTTCTTTGGTATATTTAAATTTAAAAAATAAACAGAAGAAAAATCCTAAGAATCTTAATTATTAGAAGCATTCATTTAAATACAATAGGTAAGCAAATGATCAATCTTAAATCATTTAAGTATCTTATAAGGATTAGATACATGATATTAAAAAATACAAACTGCTATATAAGTGAATTCTAACTTAGACTGATTAATTTACACATACTTCCTTAATATATCCACTAAAACTTCATTTTTGTTTCATCTTATTACATATTAACTGGAATAGTATATGAATCTGTTGTCAGAATTTTGTACTCTCTCAACTTCAAAGGTATGATCATAACCAGAATTTTTAATCTTAAATCATATATCTTGTTTTCATTCAGATATACAGATCTTTCCTAGGAAAGTACGTGTCCCATCTATCCATTCTTTTATCTACATTATGATCTCCAAGTACTGACTTAGAGAATAAAACAAACAAGAAATGTCCTAAGAGTGGGAATTGGTGGGCCAACGTTCTCGGCAAGTTTCTTCCTATAGGTTGTCTTCCTAAGGCTGGGACCAGGATATATTTAACAGAACTAACCATTTCCTAGGGATGGATGGATGGTGTAATTGCAAGTCCCCTGCCCCTTGATTCTGGAAGTCTGCCATGTTTTGCAAATAAAAAGATTTAGAGATCACAAATAATTATTTTGTAATACTCGGTAGAGGAAGCAGTATACCACATCTGGATACAAATAAGAGTGAGCTTGAACAACCGCTATTAGTTATGGACATTAGAATTATTGACTTTTGTTCTTAAAAAAGCACAGACATAAAGTGAACTTAATTTAACTTCCATGCTATTCATTACCTGAGCATAGATTTCCAGGTGTAATTCTCCCATTCCAGATACAATTGTCTCTTTGCTCTCGGTGTCAAAGTGGACTTTAAATGTGGGATCTTCTCTTGTAAACCTGCCAATACCTTTTGAAAATTTCTCCAGATCATTCTTAAAAAAAAGAAAGTCATTACATATTTTACTAATTGTGATATGCAATGACACTGTTGAAAGAACTTTACTGAATGAAATTAAATACATATGTAGTGAAGAAGTAAAGATACTCTACCATCTAGTTCCTAGGCCATACCCTCTGAATGTGTGAGCTCGGACACCACACAGCGAACAGGGAGGATATTGCTAGCTGATAGAATTTTCTTTCCATACAAGATACAAGAATCCAAGACTTAACTCTGTGTCCTTTCCTATTATATTGACAAAAACTGTCCCTTTGTGGAAAATTGCCCGTAGAGCAGAAAGTAGAATATGTGTTACTGTTACATAATCAAAGGAATCAGCATGTTTACCAAGATTCTATTGTAGACTCAAGAGGACAGTTAAGACCAACAGTAAGGCAAATGCTGCATTGAGACTTTCAAAACAATCTGCTTGGATGTGGTTTCATGCATCTTTATTCTCCTTAGATGTAATCTCCTCATGTGGTAAGCAGAATAATGGCCCTCTAAGGATATGCCCTAACCCCTCCCAAACCTGTGAATGCTACTTTACATGGTAAAGGGGACTTTGCAGATGTGATTGAGGTCACAGATATGAATAATTTGGGTGGGCCCAATGTAATCACATCGGCTTTTAAAAAAATGGAAGAGGAATGCAGAAGGGTAGGTGAAAGAGATGTGAAGAGGGAAAACGGCAGGAAATATCTGAAGCACAAGAGGGACTCATTTCACTGTTGCTGGCACTGAAGATAGGAGAAGGGGGCCAGTCTCTAGGAGCTAGGAACAGCCCTCAGGTGACAGCAAGGAATGGGAACCCCAGCCCTGCAACCACAAGGAGCTGAATTCTTCCCACAATCGGAGTAAACAGGAAATAAATTGTCCCCTAGAGCCTGCAGAAAGGAACCCTGCCAATCAATATCTTGATGTTAGCCCATTAAGAACCGTATCAGATTTCTCACCTACACAACTATAAAATAATACATTTGTGATGTTTTAAGCCACTAAGTTTGTGGTAATTTTTTACAGCAGCAACAGAAAACTAACACACCCTTGAATCACCAGCATCAATAGCTATTACATGTGCCTGGAGCTGTGTGTCATGTATTTTGTATGTGTTACCTCAAATTCTAACCACAAACCTGCAAGACAGAATTATCCACATTTTACAGGTGAGGAAACTAGGTACAGATAACTCAACTGACTTGCTCAAGGCTAAACAGACAGTGCATGGCAAAGCTGAGAATGAATCCTGGGTTGGTCTATCTCCAAAGTCCTTTTCCCTTTCCCCTGCACTCGCCTGCAGGCACTCTCAGCTTACTAGATCATCCCTGCCTCCACTACTGAGGTTCACAGCTTTGTGCAGTGATTTCTTCATTTAACTTAATTTACTCCAGCAAGCAGATAATCCTGAGACACCAAAAAAGCCAACCAAACAAACCAAAACAACCTTTTGGATATTGATACATTTGATTTCCCTCCATTATTATAACTATCAAGACAAAAGTCTTACATAAACTCTGAATTCAGGAATGAAGAGCATTACATCTTTACCTTCTAGCCCTGTATATTCTGAAGGGAAAAGCAAACAATTTAGCAAAGCACTCAGAACAAACTGTGGCATTAGGTATAAGACTTGCCTTTCCTCAGATTTCTAAGATGGAGTAATTTAATGTTTCTTGACACCTCAACATTCTCCTTTCTACAATGAAAAGGGTCTGTAAAATCTCAAGTTCCTCAAAATAAAATAAGTAGAAGCTGTTAATGCATCCATAAGACAAACCAGAGTATGTTCTGTAAATGACATTTCCCAGATGACAAGAGGTCATAAATGTTCACTCAATGCATGAATGAGTTCATTTCAATACACCATATTAACATGATTGCTATGAATGTCAAAACTAAGACATATCAAAATCATTCATTAAGAACTAAATGATTACAGTTCAAGATCAGAACTAATTCTAAGGGCAAGGTAATGGGAATACAGAACTTATTCAAGTAATCTTGGCTTTGTAAAAAGCTAAATGACATAAAATCCAATCATAAACTTGTTATGAAAGTGAGAAAAAACAGTCTTATTTGCAGGCTCTCCATGTTATAATCACGCACTTATTTTATAACTACCACAAATTTAGAGATGTATTCTAATCCATGAGGCAGTTAATCTATGCAGTATTCTAAAGTACTTTAAAGTGCGGTTTTTCTACAATTTAGGACAAATGCCCATTTCCCCTCTTCCATCCTTTATAAATCTAGGAAGTTAACTTACCATTCTGGAGCAAATATTATACCTTTACTTAGTAAAGTGTTATTAAGCACAGTCTGATGAACACTTTAGTACCATTAATTTCTTCAAAATACTGAGGAGTAATTACTAGTGACTGACTGGTAAATTTTATATAAAAGGTGATCTCAATACCAAAATGCCGGGGCTGACCAGCAGACCCTGAGCGACGGATGAATAGATTACTCTGACACTCATTTCTGTAAAAGAGAAGGCTAAGGGGCTTGTTTGACTTTAGGAACCAAAACAGCCCGATTGCCTGCCTCCTTAGGCTTTTTTTGTAACAACAGCTTGAACTAAAATTAACCTCTAGATACAATCAGCAGGGTAAGTATCCTTGAGAAAGCACATGCTTCTACAATAGTGGTTCTCAACCTTCTGGTCCTTTAAATACAGTCCCTCATGTTGTGACCCCCAACCATAAAATTATTTTCGTTGCTGCTTCATAACTGTAATTGTGCTACTGTTATGAATCGTAATGTAAATATCTGATATGCAGGATGGTCTTAGGCAACCCCTGTGAAAGGGTCGTTCAACCCCCAAAGGGGTCGCGACCCACAGGTTGAGAACCGCTGTTCTACAAGGTCGAGTCTTAAAGACTAAACATAGAGATTCTAGCAAAACACCCGGGGGCTCGGACTTGTTTGGAAAAGTCAAGGGAGGGGCTGCCACCTTCAGCAAGGTCCCCCCAGAGGCCCTTGGTCTTTCAGAGAATCCTCCTTACAGCCTTTCTAACCAAGTCCCATGCTTCCCCACACCAAACGAGAAATAGAGACCATAAGATTGCTGGTTACCACAAGGTACCATGTGCATTGTGGAGACAGATGAAAAAGAGCTCAAGTTTTATTGTGATATACTGAGTGTTAAATCAAAGTCCTACCTTGTTAGAAGGCTTCATTGCTATTGAAATGACAGGATCAGGAACATGAATTGACTCCTAAAATATTATTTAAAAAAAAGAGAAGAATTCAAATATAGCACTGTATGGGTCAGGGTCAGGGATGGATTAACTTTAACACGTTAAGTGCTAAGCCTGTTTTGTCTTCCTTTCCGTTTAGCCCGTAATATCCGAGTTCACCAGTGAGTGATGAGGTTTGGACGGAAAATATAGTGTCAGTCACCGGTGACTGACATGGTGCTTAACATGTTAATGTTCTACTTATAAAGAACAAAAGCACTCAATATCTTTAGGCTAGACAATATATATATCTTGGTCTGTCTGCATTAAATAAATGAATATATTAATACAATATTTTAATAAAGGTGTCCACTTATATGATCTCCTCCCTCCCAAAACAATAAAGTATTTATTTATTTACTTAACTGTTTAAGACCCTTAAGTTTATTGACACTTTCAGTTTAACATAATCATTTAATAAATCCAAATGCTGAGATGTGGAATTCTTATCAGCTGGCAGCTACATTTATTGTTGGTATCTTCTGGTAAGTTATTTAATCAAATTTATTATGATCACTGATAAGAGAAACAGAGAAAGGGCACTAGACTCTTTATACGTGATACCTCATTTAATCAACCACAACTCTGAAAGGCAGATATTATCTCCACCATACAAATAAAATCTTAAAGGCATGGAAAGAATATAAAGTAATGTGACTAAAGGCTAGTGGGTAATATAGTGCAGAGGTGAGTCTCTAACCAGGGTCTACTTGCTTCAAAGCCTCAGTATTTTCCACAGCCTCCAGTCCCTTCATATTGCTCATGACAAGCCTGGAGAGAAAGCCTTATAATCATACTCATAAAGCATTCCTCTTATGTACAACCCCGAAAAGCCTGTACATATTTATGACTTTTGTAGTGTCTTAAATCAACATTAAACCAGACATTAGAGAATATTTTATGCAGAAACACTAGTTATAAAATTATGGATCTGTTATATGATCTAGGAAACATTATAGTGTGTGCCTGTTCTTACATAAATGGACCAGTTCTTACATAAATGACTCATTGTGAATTTGTTCACTGCAAGTTACCTACCCCTAAGTACTCATACTCTTTCTTTACTGAATTCAGTAGAGGGTCTTACTGTAGCACAGCCTGCTTTCCTAAAGGGGCACAAATGGAAAATGAGGGAATTCAAAGGCAAGAACTGCCTAAGCATGTGTGGAGGAGAGACTATTCCATGATGTGACCTCTGTCTGGACCACGAGCTGAACTGGGCCAGAACGGAGATTGCTTGACCGCAAACCCCCCTTAGAGACTATCTGATGGTAATTAATGTTCACTCTGACATAAATAAGCAATGAGCTGGTTCCCGGAACAGGTTGTTGTCCTGACCTGGTCATGCATGTTAAGTAATTTCCACACCAGGTAACATTCATGTACTAGTAACTGTGACTATTCCCCCGTTTTTACCCCATATGATAATTTTCTGGCTCCTGTCAGGAGGGTGGAGACTGTCCACTTCATCTTGCAGCTGCCCAGAAAGTGCCTCCTATGTAATTTTCCCTTAAGGAACTCTGTTAGTTGCCAGAATGGAGTGGCCTGCCTCTTTCTTCAGTTTTTCCCTGCTCTCCATTTACAGAGGTAGATTTTCAGGGTCAGGGCTTTTCTAGGGTCTATGTGTATTAAGAGCATGTTCTTCCCTTCAGGGCCCTCAGTGATGAAAAGGGACCTATGAGTTCCACAGAGCAGGCTGTCACCAGTAAGTCAGACAGTCTAGTTGCATTTGGTGCCCTTCTTTTATGTGATCCCCAAGCCTGCCTAAATGTTAGTCTGGTCTTACAATTCTTGAGGGAAGGGTCTACTCTGGCTGCTGAGTTAGTAAGGAAGGAACATCCCATGGGGACCAGCCTGATGATGGTGATAGCAATTAGAGAGGTACCCACAATGGCAAAAAATCTCAGGGTAGAGTCAGAGCTAGTCAGGTGCATCTAAATGTTGAAGAATCATGGAATGACTTTACTAAAAAACACCCACACAGAACACCTGTCCACCTGACATTTAAAGAGCCACAACCAAGCTATACTTGATGCCTGCAGCACTACTCAGTGAAAACTTGTGGTTGTTTTTCTGAAATGTTAAATGTATCACATAAAAACACAGACTTTTGAGACACAAGTGAAACACAGATTTGAAATTAAATGACTTACCATAGAAAGTCCACTATTATCTTTGTTTGTGAATGTGTCTCCACTAGCACAGTCAATGCCAAATAATGCACAGATGTCTCCAGCAAATACTTCCTCAACATCCTAAATAAATAACACAAAAATGACACAAGTAATACCAATCAGAACAGGGTGACTAAAGAGTACTTGCACAATAAGCACATTGCACATAAATAAATATGGCAGAATCTTATCATGGATTTTATAAAGAATTAGCTAAACCAATGCAACATCAACAATCAACCACAGCAAGCCAGACCTTAAACTGGGCCCTTATTTAAGCCACCTCTCAATAGACAAGATTTTACTTTAAACGGAAACTCAGAGTTATGGCATCATTTTGGAGTATCTGCAGTATGGATAAAACAGAGTCTCATAGTTCTAAAGTTATTTCTATGGAATTAAAAAGCATGTACTATAGCCCAACTAGTGTGGCTCAGTGGTGGAGCATTGACCTATGAACCAGATGATGATGGTTTGATTCCTGGTCAGGGCACATGCCCAGGTTGCAGGCTCAATCCTCAGTTGGGGGCATGCAGGAGACAGCCGATAAATGACTCTCTCTCATCATTGATGTTTCTCTCTCCCTCTCCCTTCCTCTCTGAAATAATAAAAAATATGTATTTTTTTAAAAGCATGTACTATATGGTGCCACAGTCCAATAATCAGATGTGTATGACAAAGGTGTACAAGAAAAACCTACAAAGGAAGTTTTGAAAACAAAGGCAGGAGAATGGAGCCCACTTTACTTAAAACAATCTTAATTTCTCACAGATTCAAGCAGTTAAAAAAACAGGAAATCGAAGAACAAAGCATTGTGCCTCTAAACTTCCTTGTTTTTGTCCTTTTATATGGACAGTTCATTCATAACAGCTGTGGCTGTGAATGAGCAAGTATGTGTGTGTCATACTTCAATAGTTATACAGCTGTACAATTCTCCTAGCTTCTGGTCCATGTAACAGCTGTGACAATCTCTAATCCCTCTGGCTGCCCCCTGCTGCCTATCTCTTAAAACAGTAATTCTGTCCAATTTTTAAAGACTGCCTATTCATCTTCTAGGAGATACAAAGGTTATGGACACCAAAAATTACTGAACATACGAAGATTCTGCTCAGATTAATAAATTTCCCCAGGAATACAGAGCTGAATTGGGAAAGGGTGAGAGTAGGAGACAACCTCGCACACTCAGTATTCCTACCAAGGCCTAATCACCCTATGGACCACAGAAAGCTAGGGCAGATTCAGAGCCAATTCAAGAATTCAAGAGAAATTTATCTCCCAGACCACACTTTGAGAGGTTTTAAATCTTCAGATAGAGTCTAACACCATTATGGCCCTTCTTGGGGTTGGTTCTACAAATATAAAGCTTTAGTGTTAAACAGAACTTTCAGACCTGCCATATTTTAGAAAGTAAATTCACTGAACAATGTGTGCAATTATATATGAGTTTACTACTCTCACTTACCTTTGAGAAGCACAGTTCCATTGTCCAGAAACTATTATCCTCTTTGTAATGATGGCTCTTGAGGAAAATGTTGAATTTATGGTTCTGAGTCATAGGGAACTAATTGCCCCTTCTCCTTAACCTTGGCCATTGAGGAAATACAGCTAACTCACAAATAGTGGTATAAACTGTGTTCTTAACATCTTCTAATTTAGCCTATACTAAAATGCTACATCAAAACTGCAGCACACCTAACTAAAAAGGAAGAAGCTAGGAAAACATTCAACTGGAAGTGATTTTCTTGTGGGGCTCAGAATACCAAGAAGACAGATCTATTTCACCTGCACTAGAGAATTTCTGACCTCTCAGTGACCAGGCACTTGCCTCCATCATGTCAGCATGCATGCGAACCAGCCGTTGCACCCGCACTTTCTTTCCTGTTCTCGTGTTGTAGATGGTGTCCCCCTTCTTCAACTCTCCTTGATAATTGCGAATATAAGTTAGTTGTCCAAATCGACCTGCCTAGAAGTCAAGATTGGGTAAGGGCAGAAAGAATAAAAAAGAAACATAAGAATCAAAATCAGGAGGAAAACTTCACAACTATCTCCAAACATTCCTTTATCAATTTTAGTAGTTTTCAACACAGGTAAATTAAACGATTGTGTTATTCTTTTTGGCATCACAATCCGAGATACTACTTGTGCTTCCTCTGAAATAAAAGTTATTAGAAAAAATTTTAAAATTACTTATGTAAGGAATTATCCTTTTGTCTTATAATATTATTTTGTAAGTTCAGTTTAACATAGATATAAAAATAAGGTATAATGATTGTAAAGACAACAAAAACATCATTAGAAATAGCAAGACATTTAAAATACTTTGATAGTCACCTGGAAAGTTATACAATAAGAGTTTTGTAAAGTGACTGAATATAAAATGAATGATTAAGGATCAATTTCTCCTGAATAACAACTAGGTATGTATTTAAAGGTTGCCAATGCTTCCCATATTAATTTAACACAACAGCAATCAAAATCCCAAGATAAAATTTTAAACATTTAATTAGTGATTTTAAAAGTCACTTAGAAGAATGGATAAAAATAAAAAGTTTTGAAAAACTATGGTAATGAGAAGAAACTAAGACTAATATAAAAACATATTAAATATTCCAAAATTTAAAAAGTATAGAACTAGCACAAATTAGACTGAACAACCCACAAATATATAGTAAAAATGTCTAAAATGTTTAATTCATTTATCAATAATGATAAAGAAAGCATGACAGTCAATGGAAAAGTACAACATTGTTCAAAACTGGTAACTGGACAACTGTTCTTGAATTGGAGAAACATTTGGATCCTGCTTCATAGCACACAGCAAATCAAATTCCAATTAGATTAACAATAAAAAAAATCCCACCATAAAAAAGTAGAAAAATAAATATTTATTAAATATATTCAAAGAATATTTATTTATAAATATTTATTAAATATTTATTAAATATTTAATAAACATTTATTAAACATATTCAAAGAAGAGGGTTTCTAAGGTTAAGAATGACTAAGGACAAAGACTGATAGATTTGACTATATAAATTTTAAAGTACTAATTGTTTTTAACAAATCATCTTTATTAGAGAAAGTTCGTACAAATAAGTAAGATACTTTGATCCTCATTTTAGAAAAAGAAATAAAGACAATTACAAAAGAGAAAATACAACTGCATAATAAAAACAGTATATGAAAAAAATATTCTCTATCATTAGGAATTAAGATGAAATATTAAAATATTTTCATTTATGAATTCAGTAATAATTTTTAATAAATAATATTCATTGCTAATACAGATTCACTGAAATAATCCAAAACATTAATTCTGAGTGTATGAAAACAATTTGGCAATACAAACCATCAGATGTTAATATATTCCATACCTTTAATTCTATAATTGCTATTCTAGGGATCCTAAGAATATATTCCTAAACACATTTTTAAAAGCTTTATGCAAAAAATTGGCACTGCAATGTTACTTCTACTTTTTAATTTGAAATTACTTTTTCCTCATTTTAGAGGTAATAAGAAGTATATTGTAAAGTTTTAAAAATAAAAATCTAGGGAAAAGCCCCCAAAATATAATTCCATCTATACCACTGTTAATACTTCCAACTATCTACCTTTCTTCTCACATTAAAATATTATGAACAGAAGCAACAATACCCCAAAAAAAAGCACACCCAGTGATCAAATCTTGGTTTATAAAACCATTCTCTCTTAAAAGAAACCAGGACCCCTAAAGAAGTGGCTGATTCTAAGGCTGGGGCAGGGAATATATCAGATAAGCCTGGAGCATCCTGTAGTGCCAGCAAGTGAGAAAGTAGTCATAAAGCAAACACTGGAGAATCAGAGACTCAGGAGCCAACTGCAAGAGCTACAATGGCCAAATCAGTCAATCTAGGCACCAAAATAAGTAACATACTACTCAACTGTAACTCAAAGTACAAAATAAATACCCGTAAGTTCATACTGATATAAATAAATAAAATGGGGGTGAAAAGACAACTCTCCCATACAGAAGAATCCTATCTAATAATAGACAAACATGGTAATTAACCGTAACTTCGCTACCCTTCCCATTGGCTAGTCAGGGCGATATGCAAATTAACTGCCAACAAAGATGGCGGTTAACCGCCAACAAAGATGGCGGCTAATTTGCATACGTAGGCTCAATGAGGAACAATGATTGGAAACCCAGGCGGCAGGCAAGAGCCAGGTGGCAGGGTAAAGGCACTTTGCCCTGTCCCCTGCCCTGGATCCAAGAACCTGGGCAAAGGCCCATCCCCCAGCTGGTGATAAGAGAAGCCGGGCGGGGCAGAGAAGAGGCCGCCAGTGTCTGCCTCTTCCCTGCCCCCCACCCTGGTGATCGGTGACCCCTCGAGGCAGGGAGGGACCCAGAACACGCGGAAGTCGTCCTGCCTGGCTGTGGGGGACCCGATCGCATCCCCAGAAGCGAGGCAGGGAGGGATCCAGAACATGCGGAAGCCAGGTCTTTTTTTTTTTTTTTTTAGATTGTGTAATTATTTATTACAAATAAATGGTGGTTTCACATCTGTCAAAAATGGGTCCTCTTTTTATATGTGTGTGCAGGTTCTGATGTACAAGAAAGGGTCATGTGCTTAGTTCATCCATGCAAAGCTCACAGGTACATCACTAAATACTTTAAAATAGAATGATCTCTTTTTGAACCAATTTGTTTAGATTCAGGATTAGTAAAACAGTATGGAACTAATGAAATACAGTGATAGGAATTAGGAAGTGTGACACTGATGGTTCTGGGCATGTGAAGGGTGAGGGACAGAAGGGTATACATGGCCTTCCCTTCAGTTCTGCTGGAGAGATGAGCTCCGAGGGCCCAAGCTGCACCATGCCCAGAGGAGGTGGGTGTGGTCAGTGGCTCTGTTTCAGAACTTCTTGCAAAGCAGAGAGCTTACCCGACCCACAGGAACCTTTTTACTCCAGAAAACAGAAACAGCCAGTTCCCAATGGGCATGGGAAAACCAGTGTCCCCTCCTGTGCACGGTGTCCTGATGGGGTGACGGGGGAGGTGGGCAAGGGGAGCAGTGCAGAGTTGTTAGGCAGCTGGAGTGGGAGTGGAAAGGCCATGAAATGTCCACAGTCCTGGCTGTGCCCACGGCCTGGGCTGCTCCTCCAGGCCCTGGCTGAGGGATTAGGGCTGATTCTCTCGGGAAGGGAATATTCCATGGGTGGAAGATTTACAGGCTCAGGGTGGGCCGTTAGTTTGGGGCAAATCCCTCAACATTCCTGTTGCCAAGCCCTCAAAGGAATGAGGCAGAGGTACCCCTCACCCCCAAGACCCCTTCGTGGACATTTTAGCATCTACATGATTTTTAATCCCTTCAGGGAGAGTTTCTATCCTGCAGTCCCATCCCACCCCATTGTTGCTGTTTGTCTGCCAGCTGGGTCGAGCATCAAGGGGAAGGGGGGGTTTATACTTACTGAAAGACTACTGATCCTACCAGGAAACCAACCTGTTTACTGTACTGTTTTAAATATCATACCCTTTATATCCTGTATATTGGCTTCTTTTAAATAAAGTTAAATGTCTTAGAAAAAAAAAAAAAAAGCAAGGCAGGGCGGGACCCAGAAGACCCATATGGGGAGTGCCACTCAGCCAGAAGCTGGCTCATGGCTGGCCAGCGCAGTGGTGGTGGCAGGAACCTCTCCCACCTCTGTGGCAGCACTAAGAATGTCCAACTAATGGTTTAGACCTGATCCGTTGGGGGCCTAAGTCTTTAGTTGGACATCCCCCGAGGGCTCCCTGGCTGCCAGAAGGATATCTGACTGCAAGGTTAGGCCTGATCCCCCGGGGAGTGGGCCTAAGTCAACAGGTGGACATCCCCCAAGGGGTCCCGGTGCAAATTTTTGTGCACCGGGCCTCTAGTCCTATATAATAAAAGCCTAATATGCTAAGTGTCTGGTTGTCCATTCAACCAATCAAAGCATAATATGCTAATGATATGCTAAGGCCACTCAACCACTCACTATGATGTGCACTGACCACCAGGGGGCAGACGCTCCGACTGGTAGGTTAGCTTGCTGCTGGGGTCCGGCCAATCAGGACTGAGCAAGATGGGCCAGACATGCCCTGGAGCCCCCACTTGGGCCTTCCCCGGCTGGCCCACCTCCCGCATCCCTCCCCGGCCCTGATTGTGCACCGGTGGGGTCCCTCAGCGTGGCCTGCGCCCTCTCACAATCCAGGACCCCTTGGGGGGTGTTGGAGAGTCAGTTTCAGCCCAATCCCGCAGGCCAGGCCGAAGGTCCCCACTGGTGCACGAATTAGTGCACTGGGTCTCTAGTATCAAATAAGGAGATACTGCTCCCTCAAGGAGGTAGAGCATAATTCCCCACTCAAGTATGAGATGTGCATAGTAACTTCCTTCTAAAAAGTCAGTATAGAAAGGGGAAAAAAAGAGTAATAGTGGAGAAACTTATAGCCAAATCTGTCAGAAGGGTCACTTAGCAATAGGAATAAAAGCCTAAAAGAAGATTTCTATATATAGCAGTTAAGTACATTAGCAAGCAACTTACCTCCAGTTTAAAAGCCAGGCCTACAAATGAGTGGGAATTGTCTCTGTTGGAGTTCATTAAGATTTTGGTTTTTTCTTTTGAGTCACTTAAAATAAAAGAAATATAACTGTGAGATGCAACAACTAATATTTCTTTTATATCAATTTGTTTCATCAGAGTATTATCTGAGAAAAAGCACATCAGTTACTACATTGTGATAAGGTCAGAGGAAATGGGGAGAAAACCACACAGAAATGGTCTTGTAGAGAATTTTCTAAAGATTTAAATCTTGAGGGATAATATATCACACTTCTAACTCACAAATAAAATATAATATGGGAAATGGGATAATAAATATTTTTTGTATATGACCAAATTGTTACCCAAATAGAAATGGTGATTGTTTTTGTAAAGTATGAAAAATAACACAAATACAACATAACTAGAAAAATCATTCTTACATTCTTTCATAGTGCACAAATGTTAAAAGTCAGTATAGAAAGGGGGAAAAAAAGAGTAATAGTGGAGAAACTATTTCTGCATAAACTAAGAATCAATTTCCAAGACTTACTCCTCCTGGTTGAGCATAGCATAATTCTGGACTTCAGATGGATTTGGGAGGTAGTCTAAAACAGCATCTAAAAGAGGCTGAACTCCTTTGTTCCTCAAGGCACTTCCCAAAAAGACAGGAGTAAATGACCTACTTAAAGTAGCTCTGCGGATTGCAAGCTACAAAAGGAAAAAAAAAAAAGTAATGATTAGTCAATCTTAAAAATTACATCTGTGTTTCAGATCAATTACAAACCAACAAATAAATGAATTAATACTCTTTGGAGTATTGGCTCTAGTGGAGACTAGGATCATGTAGGCCTTCTATAACTTAAGGTCAAAATTCAAAACAAAGGAGAAAAAAAAAACAGTTCCTTTTTCAGGCCTAGGAAGCTGCTTTAACACTCTTGAAATGTCACTCATTTTTAATTTGGTAAAAAAATATATATACAACGCTGGCTGGTGTGGCTTGGGGCTGAGCATCAACCCATGCACTGAAAGGTCACTAGGTTGGAATTCCGGTTAGGGCACATATTCCGGTTGCGGGTTTGATCTCTAGTTGGGGTGCATGCGGTCAAGGGCATGTACCTCGGTTGCAGGCTCAATTCCTGGCCCTGGTAAGGGCACCTGCAGGAGGCACAAATCGATGTGTCTCCCGCACATCCGATGTTTCTTTCTCTGTCTCTCCCCATCCCTTCCACTCTCTCTAAAAATCAATGGAAAAATATTGAGTGAGGACTTATTTTGAAAGTACTTGCCTTTAAATCAGAAATTGAGGGGATCTTTTCTTCCAGGAACATCTCACCAAGCTGCTCGTCTGAATTAGCAACACTTTCAATCAGCTCCTGGCGGTGGTCAGCTGCCGCAGCCCTGAATTCCGCTGGAATTTCCCCATAGCGAACAATCTGACTAAGAAATGTTTATATTGGTACTTTAAGGATGTACAATCAAATATATAAAGCACCAATGAAAATGTTAAACTAATAGCTAAAATATCTTTTTAGATGAGAAAGAGCTCTGATATATTTGTATTAATATGGCAAATAATACTAATGCATATCTTTAAAATTCAGACAGATAATGGGCAAAACAGGCAAAGCAAATTGCTCCAGATTGAACTATTAGTAAATGGAAGAGCCAAGATGCAAAGCCAACCTGGCTCCATGTGAGCACCTGAAAATTCTATTAACCAAATTATTCCAAACATCACAGTCTCTTACAGGCAGGATTAGAGACCCAATTATTCCTTCCCAAAGTAACAAACCCAATCACACAATTTTAACACAGAATACTCCATTTTGTAGTAAAAAAAGTTTACTAATATTTGACAAAGCAGGCAACAACATACAATGGAGTCAAGACAGTCTCTTCAATAAATGGTGTTGGGAAAATTGGACAGATACATGCAAAAACATGAAACTAGACCACCAACTTACACCATACACAAAAATAAACTCAAAATGGATAAAGGACTTAAACATAAGACGGGAAACCATAAAAATATTAGAGGAACCCACAGGCAGCAAAATCTCAGACATATGCTGAAGCAGTATCTTCACCAATACAGCTCCTAGGGCATTGGAAACTAAAGAGAAAATAAACAAATGGGACTATATAAAAATAAATAAAATAAAAAGCTTCTGCACAACAAAAGAAACTATCAACAAAACAACAAGAAAGCCCACTGCATGGGAGAACATATTTGCCAATGTTATCACCGATAAGGGTTTAATTGCCAACATTTACAGGCAACTCATACAACTTAACAAAAGGAAGATAAACAATCCAATCAAAAAAATGGGCAAAGGACCTAAATAGACACTTTTCGAAAGAGGACATTCAGAAAGCCAAGAGACATATGAAAACATGCTCAAAGTCACTAATCATCCGAGAGATGCAAATCAAAACAACAATGTGGTACCATCTCACACCTGTCAGACTGGCTATCATCAACAAATCAACAAATGACAAGTCCTGGAGAGGATGCGGAGAAAAGGGAACACTCATGCATTGCTGGTGGGAATGCAGACTGGTGCAGCCACTGTGGAGAACAGTATGGAATTTCCTCATAAAACTAAAGATGGAACTCCCATTTGATCCAGTGATCCCACTTCTAGGAATACATCCCAAGAAACTAGAAACACCAATCAGAAAGAATATACGCACCCCTATGTTCATAGCAGCACAATTTACCATAGCTAAGATTTGGAAACAGCCTAAGTGCCCATCAGCAGATGAGTGGATTAAAAAACAGTGGTACATCTACACAATGGAATACTATGCTGTGGTAAAAAAGGAATTCTTACCATTTGCTACAGCATGGATTGAACTGGAGAGCATTATGCTAAGCGAAATAAGCCAGCCAGAGAAAGATAAATATTACATGATCTCACTCATTTGTGGAATATAATGAACAACATACTGATGAACAAAAACAGATCCAGAGACAGAGAAACATCAATCAGACTGTCAAACCTCAGAGGGAAGGTAGAGGAAGGCGGGTGTAAGGGGGAGAGCAGGGGTAAGGGGGAGAGATCAACCAAAGGACTTGTATGCATGCATATAAGCCTAACCAATGGATACAGACACCAGGGAGGTGAGGGCATGAGTGGGGGGGGGGGGGGGCAATGGGGTTATAAGGACACATATGTAATACCTTAATCAATAAAGGAAAAAAATACGGAAAAAAAAGGTTTACTAAAAACGACAGACTCTTCAACCTTAGCCCATTCTCCATTCCTTAGTAGAGGCCAAATAGGTAAGAGACACAGATAAAATATATACAACCAAGAAGTGAATATACTTGATATTTAGAAATATTAGTACGAAAGTTTTCAAAGTATCTTTAAAATGGAAACTAATGTCAAAAAAAATAATAATCTTTTCAGAAAACATGTACCTAAATAAAAAAGCAAAAGCCAATTGCAAATACTTCTAAAGAATGTTCTTCATAGTCTTTAGAACTTAATTTCTTCCTTTCTGTTAAGCTCTTTAGTGCTTAGACTTTTATGTCAGAATCAAAATATACAAATCCAGTGGTCCAGGCTGGGAAAGGGGGCAGGTATATTAAGAAGTGCCATCTCTGGTTCTGATGTGCAACAAGTTTAAAAGCCTCTAATTTAGAAGACAGAAACTTGTGCCCTGGTAATTCTAGGGAAGTGGATTTATTTGTTTATTTACAAACATTTTTTGAGTCCCTATTATGTACCAGACACCTCTAGGGCTGGGGAAAATAGCAATGAATAAAGTTGATAAAAAATCCCTGTCCTCTTGGGCCTTACATTGTAAGGAATAATAAACAAACTTGTTGTCATTACTCAGTTGTAACACAAGAGGTGTGAGAAACACTTCATCTGCTGGACAGCTCCCATCTTTTTCCTGCCCACAAGGTGGCTGATCAAGATAAATTCTGTTTAACTGATCACGACACCCTTTACCTACCTGCCAGACCAGCAATCCTAGTTCCAAAGCAAAGGAAGGAAACCCCTCAAGAAGTACCTTTGGAAAAACTGCCAGGCTGCTGAGGCCACTACTCAGAACAAAGGGTCATTTATGACTCCCCCACATTGTCTAGATTAGTGGCACTCAAAGTGTGGTCTGTAGACCTGCAACATCAGCGTCTTTGAGAGCTTTCCAGAATGCACATTCCAGGCCCCACCCTAAGAGCTACTGAATCAGAATCTCTGGAGGTGGTCACAGGAATATGTGTTTGTTAAAGCTCTCCAGGTGATTTTCCTGAATGCCATGGTTTGATAATCAGTGAGAAACCATAGTGATTTACATGCAAAAGTCACTCAAAAGTTGACTGATGAACCAAATACCATGTCATTTACCAATTTGCTTCTTGTATTGCCTAAACCACATCTGTACAATCTTTAATTGCTTTTTACATAGTAGTCTTTTTATCTTTGCAATACCATGAAGTAGGTAGAGGGAATATTTATGATGCGTATTTTCTTTCCAGTTTTTATCACAATATCCAGGATGTAGCTGCCCCCCCTAAAAGTTCGCAGACTGAATGAATGAATGCAACATTACATTACTAGCTCAGGCTGAAGGCCTCCTTCCACCATACCATGCAGGTCATAATACAATTCAAATATATTACCCAACAAATAACGTACTCTCCCTTGGAATGAATACTAGGCAAAATGGGAAGCAACTAGGATTAAAGGCAGTAAAACAAAATCATCATAGAGGATATTCTTCCAGCCATATTTCAAAAGTTGTTTGTTTAAATAACTCATCCTTTTCCTTCTCTTCAATATCTTTTAAAATGTAAGAGTTATTTAACAGTATATTTTTAATACTTACCCAAAGTCTCCATCAAAATAGATGGCTCGTTCCTCAATAAGATCTATAATACCTTTAAAGTCACCCTCCAAACCAATGGGTATCTGCACAAATGCTGCATTATGATTTAGTTTAGACCTGAAAAATAAAAACACACATTCTTACCTCCTTTTTTCTCCCCAAATCCCTTTGAAATTAAAAAAAAAAATGTAATGGTAGATGCTGTTTACTTTGGGAGGGGGTGTCATCAGCAGTCAGAACAGAAGATATAAAGCAGTTGAGAACAGACTGACAGCCAAACTCATCATGCTCACGAAGCTACAACCCTATTTAGGCAATAAAAAGAACTCTAGAAGGATAGTAGGATAACTATGTCCACATCTCATTCTTGAACAGCTGACTCTAGCAAAACAGAATACAGCTATGTGAAGGGAAGTTCTTGGGGGAAAACTCTCAGAGCAGGTGTTAAAGTCAGACCCTTATTATCAGCCTATAACTCCATCAGGCACATCTACTGAATAAAACCTACACTCACAGACAGGGATTCTCACTTAAGGAGAAATATGTTCTAGCTACCTAGATTCTAGGTGCCCATCTATGATTACGGCTAGATAACTAGGAATCAACAAATAATTGAAGGAAATCAATAGCTTGAAAGAGAGGTCTGAGCTCAAGAAATAGTACTAACCTCCAAGGAGAGAGATACTAGAAGAAAATAAAATGTAAAGGTCTGAGAAGTAATTATCTCTATTAATAAAAATATTGCAATAAAAGAGAAAGTGTATGAAAATTAACTATATATAATTGCTGAAATTAAAAAGAACAAACAGGCTAAATAACTGAAGGGATGCGGATGAATAGCAGATTAGTGAACTAGAAGACTGACCTCAAGAATTAGTCATTGCCCAGTCCAAAACAGAGACAGAAAGTATGGCACAGAGACCAGATGCAGAAATTAAAACACAGAGACCAAATGAAGTTTCAAAATATGTTTAAAGGGAGTTACAAAATGAGAAAACAGGTAAAAAGGGAGTGGAGTAAACCAAATTAGTCAAATAGATGCAAAAAGAGAATACTCCTAAAATTCAGAAAAAGACTTAGTAGAAAGAGTCCCTATATTGCCAACCACAATTAAAATATAGTCATAAAGATGAAAAGTAAAAATGTTTCATTTTCCCAAGAAAATTTTACAAGTATCCAATAAAGGACAAATTTTACTCTCATATTCTCAAATATATCACTTTTATCAAAGTGCATACAGCAATACAGTCACTTAAAGTTCCTCAACACCAGATCTTTTGTCATCAGACACATCACTCTCAGTCTTTCCACTATCATGAACTTTGCTGCCTATGTCTTTCTTGTGTCTATCAGCTCTCTTGTGAAATGAGCTCCACTTACACATCTACAAGAGGTGAAAAGTGAGACTGACTCTTTTCAAAGGCTATCTGAAAATATATAGAATTGTGCAATGCAACACGCTATAAATACCACTGGGTTATCCCTGGCACAGAGCGGAAGTGTTCCTGTTGTCTTAGCAGGTATTTGACCATGAGAGCAAGGAAATACAGCATACTACTTCAGGGCATTAATTAAATTCTTCAAGTAAAGGTTAAACTAAAGGGGATCCTCTAGATTTGTCTAAATAAACACAAAGTACTTTTAGAATCTACTTTAGATTATAACTTCTCTAATTATAGCAAAAGAGCATAAATTGCCAGATTACTTTCTGACTTCACCTTCAGCATCCCTACAATTCAAGTAGTATTTCCCCCATCTTACAGAGAAGGCAGTTGATGAGGTCACACCATAAACCAAAACCAAACTACTGACATCAATGCACCATTTACTAAATCACTCAATAAATTTAAAAAGGGGGGGGGGGGGGAATGTAAGGATAAAGCTTAATGACACTGAATTAATTGTTCTGGATATAAAGTTTATCATGCAGATCATCACACCCCTGTTCTTCTAAGGATCAGTACCTCATTTGCTGCAGCGCCCTGGCGGGGTTGGAGCCCATTCGGTCCAGTTTGTTAATGAAAGTGAGAAACGGAACATTGTAGCGCTTCATCTGCCGATTCACAGTCATGGTCTGGCACTGCACCCCTCCGACTGCACAGACAACAAGGATTGCGCCATCCAGCACTCTCAGGGCCCTTTCAACTTCTATTGTGAAGTCCACATGCCCTAAATGAGACAAGTGTGTGAGGGTTTTAGAGAGCAGCCTGAAGTTTTATAACATGCACAATTAAAAGTTTCTGTATCTCTGCTCATCACATAAGGCTTCTAATTAGAATGTAAATTTTAAAAATCACCAATCCCATTCACTCACCATAAGGTCCAGGGGCCCAACAAGATCACTTCGAAAAGATACATGGGCATGGGGACCTCTGGAATCAGCTGCAACAGGCAAAAGGCACGAACCCTCCTACTCACAAGTGATTAGCACTATTTTCCAGGGAAACCACAAAAGGATGAGGCGCTCTAGGTCCCACGTCACACTTCTCTGACAGAGACTCAGTCACGCTTTTGAGTATTATTTGATACACACATATAAGCTGTGGCACAGCAGAGGAAGGAGCTCACTGTGTGCTGCCCAAACAAGCTGCAACAAAGCAGAAACCTCACCAGGAGTATCTATGATGTTGATGTTGACATCTTTCCACATGGTATAGGTGGCCGCTGACTGAATAGTGATTCCTCTTTGTCTCTCTAGTTCCATGGAGTCCATGACAGCACCAACTCCATCTTTACCTTTCACCTAAACACAAGTACAGCAATTCAGAGTTCTCTGTCCCTGCATTCTAAGAAGCAAAGACATTTTTACAGAGATGGAACCAGAGCGCAGGTAGTTAAATGATGCAATTAGCAGGGAAGTCTCATTTGTCAAACCGTATCATCTCATGACATAGAAAGCTGATTACAGATTCTGCCCTCCATTACCTGCCTAACCCTTTTTCAATCCGTTCTCAGCAACTACTGCCATGGAGCAGTCACCCAGTCTTAGAGCCATCCTTGCCCCTTCGGCACTGCTCCTGCCCGCCAGCCCTCTGCTGGTCTGTGAGGAGCTGTTCAGAGAACAGCTTCTGCCTGCTCAGCTATATGTGGATTTCGAGGCCCGGGAGGGGAGGATTCAGCTTTTAAAGTATGCGATTTAAAACGATGATCTTCATCTGAAGGAATATTTTTAAATGGAGAGTTAAGTTACTCATTGATATATAATTTCTTCAGGAGAGTTTCTTAAAAGTTTTTAACTATTAAGCTCATACTATGCATCATTTTTAATCTTTTTTTCCACTTAACATTATAAACATCTCTCCATAACATTAAAAAAATTATGTAAATACCTATTTTAATGGCTGCTTAAGGACACATCACATTACGGAATTTAACATACTCAAAAGACCACCTACTCAGTATACCTACAATGATGATCACTAGATCGATTCCTCAGAGCAATATTTCAAGCCTACTTGAGCTATCCACTGTGTAATATGATTTTGATTAAAGATCCACTGCTACCATTCTTTAAACCTTTCAGGTTTTGTAAAGTTTATTAAATCATAGCCACAAAACAATTAAAACCAAGCTCTAACTAATCGGGATCAACACGAACCATCTACCTCGTGCATCTTTGCAATTCTGCCAGTGTAGTAAAGCACTCGTTCTGTTAATGTCGTTTTCCCAGAATCAATGTGAGCTGAGATTCCAATATTTCTTATCCTCTCATTAGGAATCTTCCCTGATGAACACCATCTGCAGACCTTCCAATTAACCTGGAGGGGAAAAAAAAGCTCAACTTATTGAACATTTTACAAGGTAACAACAGGCAACTAAAATGGGTTGGTGGACATCTTTCCTCCAAAGAATCTCAACGGACACAAAATGTCATCTGAGATCATCTGGAAAGGAAGAATAAATGTCTCAACCTGCAACTCTTGTAATCAAAGGAGAGACTGCAAGAGAGGACAGTAAATATATATTCTTAAAAAGGATTAAATAAAAAAAGCTATCTATACTAATAAAAGCGTAATATGCTAATTAGACTGGACGTCCTTCCGGACTTCCTTCTGATGAAGCTGGGGCTGTGAGGGAAGCCAGTGCCAGCAGCCAGGGGAAGGAAGGCCTACTCTTGCACAAATTTCGTGCATCGGGCCTCTAGTATTAAAATAAATTGATTAAACAAAAGGAGCAGACACTTTTGGGGAATGTTACAGGTTTATGAAAATATACACTGGGGCTGATAAAATCAGAAAGACAGCTCCCAACAGCTACTTGACTGGGAAATAGCTTTTAGTTTAAATTTTACTTGGACTGCCCCCTCCCCGGCCCCCACCTTTATTGTGGTTCACAGCGAGCAAGAATGTCTGAGGCCTCATGTGCTCTATGCACTGGTGCCAAGAGCTCCAAGGCAGCCAACAAAAGTTTCCAGTTCCTTCTGCCCCAAAACAAGGACATTAAAAAAAAAACATACTTTCTATTAATCGGGGGAGGGGGCCAAATCTTGCATGTGTGGAATCAAGACACAATATACACCTCTTCCTATAGGACTGTACATCCAGAATGCACTGCGGCCACCTTTGGGGAAAGGAAGGCCGAGGCCTTGGAAAAGGTGGGTAAAGTATTCAATGGAATCCGGGCGTCAGGCTCGAAGTTGAGCCAACCCCTGAGACACCAGCGAGCAAGGCGGCTGAGGTCTGCCTGACAGGACGGGCTCCACTCCCACTGAACCCTGCTTCTCTGCGCCCCCGGCAGAAGGCAGAAGCCAGACCACAGGAAAGCACCCGGGGTTAGCGCCTCATCAAACCGCCCAGTGCAGGCTGAGGGGGGGCAGTCGGACCAGCCACACTGTAGAGCAGCGGTTCTCAACCTGTGCGTCGCGACCCCTTTGGGGGTCGCACGACCCTTTCACAGGGGTCGCCTAAGACCATCGGAAAACACATATATAATTACGTATTGTTTTTGTGATTAATCACTATGCTTTAATTATGTTCACTTCGTAACAATGAAATAGTACATCCTGCATATCAGATATTCACATGACGATTCACAACAGTAGCAAAATTACAGTTATGAAGGAGCAACGAAAATAATTTTATGGGTGGGGGTCACCACAACATGAGGAACTGTATTAAAGGGTCGCGGCATCAGGAAGGTTGAGAACCACTGGTCTAGAGGGAAAAGAGCACTTGATGAAGAGTCGGAGGCCGCGGGTCCGAGCCCCGGGCACACTCCGTGCTCAGCTGTCTTCATCTTCCCTCCAGTCACTCCACCTTCAGGTGCAGCCAGAGGAACAGGCTCCATCACACACCGAGGGCACGTCCGGCCTCCCCGGGCACCAGCAGCGGCGAGGGCACGAGGCGCCAGGGAGGGGAGGGGTGCAGACCAACCCGGCCCCCGAGGGCCGCCAGGGCCCAGGGCCGCCCCCTGGTTTACCTCGCCGGGCACGGATACCTGCTTCCCCCGCCAGCCCAGGGCGGCCGGGACCCGCGGGAGCGGCCCGCGGCCCACCGCCGAGGCGAAGGCTGCTCCCAGCAGCCTCATGGCAAACACGGAGCAAGTACGAAGGTCCCGCGGCTCCGGCTCCGCTCCGCAACCCGCACCGCAGCCCGAGCGTTCAAAGTCACGCCGGCGACCAGGGCCCGGGGAGCACTTCCGGGGCGAAGGACGCGAGGGGGCACCGAAGGGAAAGAGGGAGGAGCTTCCGGTCGTCAGAGCAGAGCAGCGCCCTCCGCTGTCCGGGCGTCCTCTGCCGGCTCGGAAGAGAAAGTGCAACCGCTTTGCGGCTCTAATCAAGCTTTTGCATATTCCCAGAAAGATGCAAGCCTTTATTTATTTTTTTTAAATATATTTTATTGATTTTTTTACAGAGAGGAAGGGAGAGGGATAGAGAGTTAGAAACATCGATGAGAGAGAAACATCGATCAGCTGCCTCCTGCACACCCCCTACTGGGGATGTGCCCACAACCAAGGTACATGCCATTGACCAGAATCGAACCTGGGACCCTTCAGTCCGCAGGCCGACGCTCTATCCACTGAGCCAAACCGGTCAGGGCAAGATGCAAGCCTTTAAACGTGAAAATTTTCCCCACATAGCAATGTGGAGAAATGTTTATTACAGAATTTAAGTGAAAAAGGTGCAAACTTTTTATCTATGCTATAACAAATATAAAAAATAATTATCTGAAGAACATGACCTGAAGAGAACAAGGAAAGATAAGAACTATCCATTATTTGTGCGTTTTCTCATTTGGAGATGTTCCGTCATTGTTTGTTGTTAATTAGACGTTATATGTCCAATCCAAGGAACACAGTATCCTAGATGATTCCGCTTGAATCTCTTAGCGGCATCTCAAACTTAGCGTCCAAAACGGAGCTCCTGGTCTTCCTCCCAAGCCCTCCGCAGTCTTCATTGTATAAATAGAAACTCCGTTGTTGCCCATATCACAAACGTTCGTCACTTTGACACCCCTCTTTGACACCCTAATCTGTCAACATATGCTATAGGCACTGCCTTCAAAAATAGATCCGAAGCTGCCCCTTCTCCCCAGCTCTCCAGCACTGCCACATCGACAGGAAAACTGCAGCAGATAGCTGCGTATTCTCAACACGGTGACCACGCCAGGTCCTGTCGTTTCCTGCTGCAGACCCTCCATCCAGGAATTCATCGTGGCTGTTATCTGTACTTTTGTGTAGATTTGAAATTTTTCATAAAGTGAAATGGATATGTCACAGGAAGCACCTACGGCCCTGCTTGAGCAGCTAAGCCAATGCAGCTCTACTCCCCTTGCCGGGTTGCTCCGGCCACATGGCCTCTTCGCTCACCCTCACGGGACCAGAGTCCTCGGTCCTCCCAGGCAGCAGCGTGCCTCTTCCCCTTACTTTCTTCTATCAGTTCAAAGAGCCTCTAGCAGTGAGCTGCTCCCTAACCAACTCTTCTAAACAAGTTCCTCCCTTTCCATTTCTCAGGCTGCTTCATTTGCCTGCAGAGCACTTCTTAGATATATCCAGGTATTATACATACTTGTTCATTGTCTGACTGCCGATGGGAATATCAGTTCCATAAGGACAGTGATTGGGTTTTGTTAATTGCTGTAACCCTGTATGTACTAGATGTTCAATAAGTATTTGTTAAAATGAATGAATGAATAAGATCAAGTAAATAGAAATAAATTACAAAGACAAAAAAAATCAGACTCACTGATGAATTTTGAATCTTTTTGCATATCATCTATGTATTAATTTACATTAAAGGATTTGTAAGCTGCTTTGATAAATTTATTAAAATTGAATATATCTTTAAATAAACTTTTTCATTTATAGTCTTTAAAAAATGTAGTCTTTATAAGCTTTTCTATGTATTTGGCTAAAATATATGTTAAATATATGTAATTATGTAAATGGTAATAAAATTAAGGTTTTTACTTTAATTTTAAGATAATTATCTATGTATATAAAAGGATAATATGCTAAGTGCCCGACCATCCAACTGGTTGCTATGACTCTCACTAACCACCAGGGGGCAGATGCTCAACGCAGGAGCTGCCATGATGTGCACTGGCCATTTACAAAGAAACGGCACCACGGACCTGGCTCCCACAAAGCAACACTTGGCTTCCCCCAAGTGTGACACAGGCCCTGCCACCACCCCAGAGCGACAGCCTAACAAGTCACAGTGGTGCAAAATGCAGCCCACAGCCCAGCCCAGCCCAGAAACGGTAACTGTGAGCATTGGGTAATGATGGCACGTAGCAACACCCAGCTTCCTCTCCCTAGCGACTAGCCTCCTTGGAGTTTCTTCAGCCCAGGAACACAACTTGCCTAATAGTCAGGTGCAAACATTTTACACTTTAACCAAATATCTGTGAAGCGTTTTCCCATGCCTCATCTCATTTGATGTGCACATAAGTCCTGGAGTAGGTAGATAGGAGACTCGGTGAAATCCTATTTTCTTTTCATTAGCTGGAAAACAGAGATTTAGAAAGTTTAGAAACTTGACCCAACTGAAAAGAAGAAATGGTGGACCTTGAAAATGACTTCAGGTTTTCTCACTGCACAGAATATAGTCAAATATTTTACCCTTTGTTCTCCCTGCGTGATCTACAATAATAATCTGCTTTTGAGTTGATAGTTATTGCTGTGTTGCTGACAATTACCTGAAAGAGAAGTTGGGGTGCTTCACTGGGCTGGAAAAAGTTTAGCTACATCAGGAAGCAGGTCTAATTAAGTAAGTTTATTCTATATCTATAAAAGGCTAAGATGACTCGCACATGCGCGATACATATAAAGCTCCCGCTGGCGCCAATCGCACGTGTGTGTTTTGATCTGTTATTGTCAATTATGAATTTGGTTGATACTTGTGTTATAAAGGGTGAATAGCGATATTAAAATAGATCTTCTAATTAATTTCCTTTCAATGTGCACGAATTTGTGTACTGGGCCACTAGTGTCAAATAAAAGTGTATCTATAACCACTTTAACAAAATTTCCTTCAGTAAAAATGCATACTCATTATCTTGTGTGTATATATATTATTTTTCTGTAATTAAACCAAGTATACTCTTTTTTTAAAAATATATATTTTATTGATTTTTTACAGAGAGGAAGGGAGAGAGATAGTTAGAAACATCGATGAGAGAGAAACATTGATCAGCTGCCTCCTGCACACCTCCTACTGGAGATGTGCCCACAACCAAGGTACATGCCCTTGACCGGAATCGAACCTGGGACCTTTCAGTCCACAGGCTGACTCTCTATCCACTGAGCCAAACCAGTTAGGGCAAACCAAGTATATTCTTAATTATTTTATTAATACCACTTGTAGCCAAAGTAATCAACTTTGTTTTGTTTACATAGAAAACTGCAAGATAGAAAACCAAGCACTATTTAGCTCAATTTTTATGAGTGCACATAATTGCCTCTGTTAAGTTTTAAAATGGTATGTATGTGTATATATATGTATGTATCCTATCTAATAATAGACAAACATGGTAATTAATCGTACCTCTAACACGCTTCCCATGGGCTAATCAGGGCGATATGCAAATTAACTGCCAACCAAGATGGCGGCCGGCAGCCAGGCAGCTGAAGCAAACAGGAGGCTTGCTTGCTCCAGTGATGGAGGAAGCCAAGATTCCCCGCCTGCCGCTGCCGGCCTCTGAGGTGCAGTATAAGAAACAATGTTGCAATTATAGAAGCTAAACAAACCCAGAAACCTGCTTTCAGCCAGCCGGGCCTCAGAGCTGGAGCTGCAACAGTGTTTCAATTATAGAAGCCAAACAAACCCAGATACCTGCTTTCAGCAGCCAAGGTCTCAGAGCTGGAGCCGAGCCTCAGAGCTAAAGCCAGCTCTTAGCTCCAGTGACAGCCATAGAAAGTAAATAAATCCCAGAATAAAAAAAAAAGAAAAAAGAAAAGAAAAGAAGAAGAGGTTGGGAGCTTCAGTCACCCGCCAGCCTGAAAACGGCCCTCAGCCCCTCACCCAGACTGGCCAGGCACTCCAGTGGGGACCCCCACCCTGAAGGGGGTGTGACCAGCTGCAAACAGCCATCATCCCCTCATCCAGGCTGGCCAGGCACCCAAGCGGGACCCCCACCCTGATCCAGGACACCCTTCAGAGCAAACCAGCCGGCCCCCACCCATGCACCAGGCCTCTATCCTATATAGTAAAAGGGTAATATGCAAACTGACCCTAACAGCAGAAGGACTGGGAATGACTGGTCACTATGACACACACTGACCACCAGGGGGCAGACGCTCAATGCAGGAGCTGCCCTCTGGTGGTCAGGGTGCTCTCACATGGGAGGAGCTCTGCTCAGTCACAAGCCAGGCTGATGGCTGCCAGTACAGCGGTGGTGGTTGGAGCCTCTCCTGCCTCCTCAGCAGCGCTAAGGATGTCCGACTGCAGCTTAGGCTTGCTCCCCGCTGGCAAGTGGACATCCCCCGAGGGCTCCCGGGCTGCCAGAGGGATGTCTGATTGCCATCTTAGGCCCAATCTCCCGGGGAGCAGGCCTAAGCCAGCAAGTGGTCATCTCCTGAGGGGTCCCAGACTGCGAGAGGGCACAGGCCGGGCTGAGGGACCCGCCTGCCCCCCGAGTGCACAAATTTTTGTGCACCAGGCCTCTAGTATATATATACATATATACACATATATACATACATATATATATACACATATATATATACACACACATATATATACATATATATACACATATATATACACATATATAATCCAAACTATTTGAACATTGTGTTAATTCAGTCATTTTATAATGTATAAAAATAAAGATAAATTGAAACTATCTTTAGTAACCAAAACTTTGTATAACTTTTACTTAAATAGAAATTGTCCAAATATCTAAAGATCAATTTAACATTTCTAAAGTTTTGAGAAGTTAAATGAGGATTTGAAAAACTAAAGTTCTAGCTAACATTTAGCTAGAGCCATCTGTATACTGTTAGAAGATAAACTGAGGCATAGCAAGAAGTTTGAGCAAAATCAGTTCCAAAAGGGCAGCGTCACTCTGGAAGTGTTTCGGAGCACTCCATCAGCTAGGGCAGTGGTCAGCAAACTGCGGCTTACGAGCCACATGCGGCTCTTTGGCCCCTTGAGTGTGGCTCTTCCACAAAATACCACCTGCGGGTGCACATATACAGTGCAATTGAAACTTCGTGGCCCATGTGCAGAAGTCGGTTTTCAGCCTGGGTGAGTCTATTTTGAAGAAGTGGCATTAGAAGAAGTGGGGGTACATTCGCTGAGGTCGACCCCTCAGATTGAGGACGTTTTTAGCAAAGGCCCGCTTAAGAGTACCCTAATTAAGTTAATAACAATGTACCTACCTATATAGTTTAAGTTTAAAAAATTTGGCTCTCAAAAGAAATTTCAATCGTTGTACTGTTGATATTTGGCTCTGTTGACTAATGAGTTTGCCGACCACTGAGCTAGGGGAAAGACTTAAAAGAGGAGGCTGAAGCAGAGCGAGGAGGTTCGGTGATTGGCTATAGCTTAGGCAGTTGTCTGATTGGGGAAAGCCTAACTGTGTTTAGGTTTCAATTTCTTAACCTTGAGGGCATTGCAGGCTCAGGTTTTGCTTTGCTCTCAGGGGCTACTAAGGCATTAAAACCGCCTCAAACTAATGGACTCCTTGTTTAATTAATTTAATAATAAAAACAGGAAAGTATCCCTGTAAAAGGCGCATTGCCTTCCCTATTCAAGAAGAGAGGAGTTTAAATATAAGCCCTATCATTAAAAAGCCCGGAAAATAAAAATGGGTGGCCTTCTATATAAATAACATGGTTTCTTTAGACAAATAACACCAAGGCTCTCCTCTTTGGGGTCTTGTCTTCTCAGGTGCCTCTCAAGTGAAAGTCTTCATCATGTCACAGTTCCCCAAAGTGGTTACTGCAGCTCCTTGCTAAACGTATGCCAGAGGCAGTGCAAGTCTGTTAGCTGACAAGCCATGAAAAACGGCCTGATGTGCTCTCAAATGTAAAGTATTCCGACGTCTGTCTCAGGCTGGTCACTGACCTGAGCATCATGTGGTTAGATGGCAACAGGGGTGGATAGAAGGATTCTCCCAAAGCAAACTTCTCATACAAAGGCAAGACTCAGATAAGTTTTCATGGACAAATAATATAAAATGGTGGGGAAACAGAGGATAAATGTGTTTATAGCCAAATTCACCAGAGGACACCAACGTCTACTCAGAACCTCCAAACCCCAGCATGACATTAGGGCCAAAGAGATCATCAGAAGGCAGTTTACTGCAAAACCTATGTAATCAGGGACAGAGGGGCCTTAAAAGGTCTTAGATATGTACGTAGTTACCAAACTGAAGGTCCTATTCATTGCAGGAAGGGTCTACGTTGAGCCTTAGTAGAATCTCCACAAATGGTCCCAGCCTCATCAGCCTAAGACCACTATTTTAGTTCATCCAGCTGCTGAAACAACAAGACCATAGACTGGTTGGCTTATAAACAATAGAAATTTCATGTAGGTTTGGAGGCTGGGAAGCCCAAGAGCAAGGACAGAAGATTCAGTGTCTGGTGAGAAATACTCCCTCATTCAAAGGCAGTCAACATCACTCTGTGTTCACATGGAAGTAAGGGCAAGGAAGCTCTCTGGGTCTCCTATAAAGTCACTCATTCTATTCATGAGGGCCCCATCCCCATGACCTAATCACACCCAACAGCCCCATCTCCAATGACCATCACACTGCCCCTTGCAGGCACCATCTGACTCCAATGTGCTCCGGCACTGCCCCGTGACAGTAACGGACAATGGAGTCATGAAGGTAAGGAAAGCTTATCCCTGAGACTGCCAGCACCAGGAAGACCTCCAAAGTGGCAAGGAGCCTAACTATGCAACTTGGCCTTATTACCAAGGCCACACTCACGGATTGTTCATATTCTTACAATCCCTTAAGACCCAGAGTTCCAGAAAGATCAATGTTGTCCGTTAAGAAAAAATCCTATGTGAGCTACAGGCTACAGAGAGCCTTCTTTTTTTATACTGGTTGACGTCAGCATTATGGTAAAAATAAATTCTGAAAAACCTCATTTTCAGCATCATGTGAACATAAAGATTTGTCTAGTGGCCCCTTAGGAAGTACTCTGGGATAAGAAATAGGTATATTTAATTTTGTTTTTTTCTTAATTTCCATGATAAATTAGGAGGAAAAAAGTATCCATGAATTATCTAATGGCTATATGATGCACAGAAGTTATACTGTTTTAAGAACAATTATTTATAAAGTGTTTTCATATTTGAATATAGTGATTCCAGTTATCAGTATAATGATTTAGGCAAAAGGAGAATAATGACAGTACCTACTCTTGAGATTTTGCTCTAACAAGTGAATTTATGCAAAAGTGTTCTTTAAAATTTATGCCTTTTGATAACTACTAAATATGTTATACCATGTTATTAGTACACTAAAGTATGTGGAAAAGAAAAATTTTACCATCTTTAACTAATACATGCTAAATCACTTTCCATTATAAAAATTGATACATATGCATCTTAGTGACTCATTAAAGGCATGAAACAACAACTAGTAAAATTAACAGGATATGATATAGAAAACTACAAGAGTATAAGCACAATCATGTAATTCTACTTCCCAAGTTAAAAAAGGAAGACAGTGGCTTTTTTTGTCCTATTTTTCCCCTTGAAACAACAAAGACTTAAGAGATAAGATTTTATATTCTAATAGAGTTCAAACCTAACTTTTATAAAAATGAATTAATGCTTTAATTCTAGAATAAAAATGCTAGAGATGATTTTTTAAATGGTATAATTAAAAAGGGACCAATTGACTTAGTAAGTCAAACACACACATCACCTGTCTAAGAAATTTTGAGACAATCAATCACTCAGGTTTGCAGAATACCAAATGCATTTTTCTAAATGTCACAGAAAGGCTGAGCAGAGTTTCTCCAAGGACACTCCAACTTCAGAATGTTAACCGTGGAGACAGATTAAGTGTTTGTAGGAAAGGAGAGTAGAAATACGCTATCTTAAGACAATACACAGAAAGGTCAGTGTAAAGTCTGATAAATGTTAAGAATGCAATATAGAACGAAAAATATACTGTATAAAGACACTACAAGAAGAAAACTCATGTATATTAGCAGTTTAAAATACTTTGAAAATGAACTATTTGATTGCTCTTTATTTTATCAAAATGATAACAAATTTATCACAAGCCAGTACTAATATAGTTCTGCTTTATTTTTAAAAAATCTTTAAGCTAGCTGGCTACATAACACATTGTAAAATTTGAAGTAAATGACTTTAACCTCATTAACATGACCCTCGAGTGGTGTTAAATGTAAATTGAGACAATTTTTTAAACATTTAACTTTCTTAAAACTAATTATATAGAACTAGCGCCACATTCAATCTTGTATAAAAGAATACACAGCCAACAGGAAAATAACCGGGAAAGCAAAATCAGCACGTGAGCTTTGAAAATTAGTATGTTTTAAAGTGAAGAGTTTGATTAAATATTTAACAACTTTGCCACATTGCTGAAAATCAAAGTTTTATTTCTAAAGTAGGGACAACACAATGCTTGGCCTTCCACGAACATTGAGATATCAGAAGAAAGTTGCTAAGTACAGTACTGATTTAACAACAGGAGATTGGTCTTATGTGTATTACCCAGCACCATTACTTGCTCTGTAAAACAACCTAAACTGAACACATCAAATGCAAGACTGTTTATTTTTTGTTGATTTTCACAGGTGATCCTTTGATGTTGAGTTTGTCCACGAAAACATTTGATCTTCTTCCACTTTCAATGCCTGGACGTTGATGAGATTTCTCCCTGAGAAATATACATATAAAAATTAATACTATTTTTTTAAATAGTCAACGGTTTACAAATCAATACAAACATGTTAAAAAAATCACTGTGATTTAAGCAAGGTTTTATCTTAACAATTTCTCAATAGCTTTGAAAAACATATGTCATTTCCCTTGACATTTAAGAAAGCCGCCGCTGCTTTCCCGAGATAGATCTAACTATGCCTGGTTTAACCATGCTGCCCAACATGGCAGCCACTAGAAATGTCATTTATATTTTAATAAAATTCAGTTCCTCAGTTGCACCAGCCACTGAGGATGTGTGATTCCATCCATAGCTACATGTGACTAGTGGCTACATTTTTGGACAGTACAGACATAGAACATTTTCATCACTGCGGAAAATCACTTCAGAAGGTCCTATCACATGGTTCTAGTTTACAGAAAATGCCCGATAGGACCATAAATTATAGGTCATTTATAAAGAACATGCTTTCTTTCACTGGGACCTGGATTTCATAGTCACTCTTACCACTGTTAGGCTTTTATCAATAAACTTTTCAAAGTGAGACAAATACTACCTAAAATTAATATGGGAGATTTCCTACAGAAAATATTAGTGCTCTAAACTTTAAACAGGTATTTTAAAAATAAAAGATGCTGGCACGTGAAATTCTGCACAAAGCTTCTGACATACATTAAAATCTGTTTCACATGAATAATTATGTTATAGCACGTTCCTTATAGGAGGATATAGCCCTTATCTTCTGAAGCATAATTTGCTAGTGAGTTACTAATCATGTAATCCTGAAATATTATTATTTTTTAGGTATAAAATTAAACTGGTGTGGAATACTCAGATATAATGTAAATGACATCTTTCACAAAAATTGTTGATGAAAACAACTTGGATGTTAATGAGAACTTCTTGATAACAGAGATAAAATTAGGTAACTTTTTTCCTAACTATTCTTTGAACACCACAATTTATTTTAGAAATAACTCTTACCTTCTTTTAAGTTCTCGGGCTCCTGAATTCTCATGCCCAACACTTCGCATCCTGGTGTTTTCCAGATTGCACCACTGTCTCCCTTGTTTGTACTTTAAAATCTCATTTTGCCACTCATCATCAAAAGCATGAGCATCACCTACATTAAATATCGAAACAAAGGAGTAAGATTAAGGTATCAGTCGGTCAGTAAATGTCTTGCTCCTTACAAACTTCATTCTAGCCCAATGTTTCCATCAATCTAACCTCAAGATAGAGACAGGAAACTGCTTCAAATACAAAGGTCTTTGGCTCAGGGTGATATTTCCTTTTCTGTTTGTTCCTCTCCTATTCCTATTGATAATTTTGTCATTGATGATCTGCTTTTTCACAGACCTGCCTGGATATCACATCATTCTACCCAATGGACCCCTTGACCCTATTATACCGACTTTCAGTCTTTCTTCCTGGGTCTTCCTATAATGATCATCCTTTTTCTCTGTATTTGGGCACTCCTCTTGTGGCTAGCACTCCTATTACCCTCACCATCTTCCTATGTAATTTGGCCTCACAAGTGTCTGTTGTCAATTTCCTAAGACAGGTTACTCATTTTGACTGTCAACTTATGTTGTTATGAAGTAGGTAACCTCACTTCCATAATAACAACAGATAAATGGCAATACTGGTTCTTTCAGACTGCCTTTATAATAATGTATTCCTTCACTAAATCTTTCTTTAGTATGTTAATTATATTTCAACTAGAGGCCCGGTGCATGAAAATTCATACACTGGAGGGGAGGGTCCCTCAGCCTGTCCTGCTCCCTCTCACAGTCGGGAGCCCTCAGGGGCAGGAGGCAACCCAGTTATCAGGGGAAGGTGACGCCCCCATCACACCTCTGCTGCCGCCACTGTCGGCAGCGCAAGCCTCAGCCAGCCCTGGTTACCTGAGTCTTGGGCAGCCCTGGGCGGCTGGGGGGTTGAGGGGACTGGGAGACTCTGGAGGCAGGTGTGCGGCAAGGCCGGATGCCTGCTGCCCCGGGGGGGCTGAGGGGACTGGGCGCTACCATCTTGTGGCTGTGGGCACCGCCATATTTGAGGGTGTGGCAGTCAATTAGCATATTCCCTCCCTATTGGCTATGGGCAACACCATCTTTGAGGGCATGGCAGTCAATTAGTATATTCCCTCCTTATTGGCTGTGGGCGCCGCCATATCTGAGGGTGGGGCAGTCAATTAGCATATTCCCTCCTTATTAGCCGTGGATGCCACCATCTTTGCAATGGTGTGAGGGTCAATTAGTATAGTCCCTCTTTATTAGATAGGATATGACAAAATTATAAAAGTTAAAAGTAAAGAAAGGTTAAGATGTTGTGGCTTCCATTTCATTGCATAAGAATAAGTTTATCAAACTCCAACCTTAAGAGAAATTCTCTTTCTAAAATTATATAATAATTCAAACCCTTTATGGTATTAAAATATTTTTGTTCAGGATACTTTCTGAAAATAGGAGATGAATATAACTTTAAAACTACAACCAGAAGAATTAGGATATGGGAAAGACAAATTCACTTAAAAATGAATGTAAAATCTAGAAAGTGAAAAAAATTTACTTGATATGTTATATATTACATTATATCTATTTCTAACAATACCAAAAATTAAAAATTAAAATCTTATTGATATAAAAGCCTAAATATCCAAAAATACCAAATCATTCAAATAAATTATGGCCTATTCATGAAGGTAACCATTTAAAATGTTTTTGAAAATATCATAGGTGACTGTTCACAATTATAATGGAGAATTAAAATAAGCACTATATAAATTATATAAACACTAAAATATTAACTTTGAAAAAAGTATATATGTTGATATATACATAACATTATTAGGAATAAATACACTAAAACATTAATAGTAGTTATTTTGGGTTGAAATTATGGATAATTTTCTTCTTTATACTTTTTTACATTTTTCAAATGTACTTCTTTGAAAATCAGAACTCATTTCGCCTACTGAATCTACTAAATAACAATTAAAAATATTCCATTTCCCAAATAGAACATAGTAGCACATAAAATGGTACTCAGCATTACCAAAATTACTATAAAAACAGATCTACTATGAAATTATGAAAACACAATGTATTACTTTGATAAGGTATTTCCTACACACTCATAAACTACCTCAAAACGACTTCTTATGAAATATTTCTACAAAAAATATTCAAGTTCCACCAGTGCAGGTGCTATTTTAACTTTACTAGGAAGAATGCTATTTTCTGCAAACACTTACTTTCATTCATATTGATGAACTCCTGGTTGACCTCTTCATCTCCAGTCTTGTTGTTCTTTGATTTTTTGATAACATGAGCTCGGTCATGGAGATGATGACCAACAGCCATTTTTTCTAGTCCACTGTCAGAATCTCTCAATGCTTTCCTAGTTTCCTTTATCTGTAAAAGTAAAGGAAATAAAAATGAGCTATTATTTAAATACTAGAGACCTGGTGCACAAAATTCATGCATGGGTAGGGTCCCTAGGCCTGGCTGGAAATCAAGGCTGATCAGGTTCCCCACCTCCCTGGCTTCTCCTTCCCTCGCTGCCTGCACGCCGCCATGGCATGGTTCCCCCCGCCTCCACGCCTCCTCCTTCCCTTGCCACCCACGTGCTGCCACCACACGGTTTCCCCTGCCTCCCCGCCTCCTCCTTCTCTCACTCCCTCAGCGCCCTGCCGCCACCACTGGTCCCCTGCCATGTTCTGTGCCGACCCCTGGTGGAAAGTGCACGTCACAGCGAGCAATCAAACTACCGTTCTCCTAGTCAAACTTCCGAGGGGACACTTTGCATATTAGCCTTTTATATATATAGATACATAGAATGGTTCTAATTCTAAACTCCTCAGGGCCTGTTTACTACAGAGATTAGACCATCAATCTACTGTTCTAAAAACAATGGGCACTCAGTTCCACTACCAACTTGCAGTAAAATTATGGTAATAATTCTCTGATATTTCCTGAACTGTGTGAAATTAAAATGTCTAGGACAAATAGGACCAATACAAATTTTTTCAAAATTGTAATCAAATGTTAAAACAAAGAATAACTTAATTTTGGAAAACTTAGTGCCTTTGACACTGCCCTTGACAATGTAATAGTAATACATGCTAGCATTCCTATAAATAAGGGCAGCTAATTATTCAGCAGTCATGTTGATGAGACTGAATCTCATGACTCCTACCTATGAATTCTATGGGTTATTAGACTATCTATGATAGCCAAAGCTATTAATATGGTTCTCTAGGGGACATCTACATTTATATTCTGTTTATGTTTATGATGCATGTAATTTACAGCAAGTTAAAATTAAAATGTCAGAGGTGAATTAGCTGCACTATTGCAAAAGCATCATTAAAAGATATAACTAATATGTAAGAACTAAAGAAATTAACCACTCACACCCATTAGATAGGCAAACCTAACTCTTTTACTATAATTACTAACAAAGAAATGGAGAAATGTGAACTCTTATACCAGAGTTTGTGGAAGCTGACTGTTTCAATCACTGTGTGATAGTGTAATTTCTAATGCAAAGTGATACATACCTCCTACACCCAGCCAATGCCATTCCTAGATCTTTTGCACAAGGAGACTTTTGTAAATATGAATAAATGAAAAATTAGAAATACTCAAAATGTTTATCAGTAGAAAAATAGATTTAAAAACTGCTATTTAATCATATTTGGGATACTATTAGGAAGATAAAGAAACCAGAGCTAAATACATATCAACTTGAATAAATCTGAGGCATATTATTGAGCAAAGTCAAGTTGCAGAGGACACATGCAAAATGACACCATTTACATAAAGTTTAGAAACTTGAAAATAATTCATTATATTATTTATGAAGCATATATAAGTAACAAAATTATAAAGACCTGCATGAGCATGATAAATTCCAGATATAGGAAAATGGTGCTCTTTGGGGGAGGGAGAAAAGGAAAAGGGACCAAGTAGGGAGGAAGGCATTGGAAGCTTTAACTGCATCTGCAAAGTTTCTTGCTTAAAAACAAAACAAAACAAGAGACAACTTAAACAGAGAAAAATGTTGTGATTTAAGACATATAAATATTAATAATATTCTTTTTTTACATATTCAGCATTTTTATTTAAATTTTTAACAATTTACATATCTCTCCACCCTTTCTTTTAAGTTAGTGTGACAATTTCCATAATAAACTACTAAAAGAGAAGCTTTGGTCAAAAATGGAATGAAATAGCAAAAACCAAAACCAAAAAAAACCCCCAAAAAAACCAAAATACAAACAAAACTCAATCACTGCTGCTTTTAAAAATCCAACACTTTCACCAATGATATTCAAACAAAACCACACAAACAACATTTGCGCGATATGTGTCTTCAGAGTTTCCTTGCGGCTGGCTCTCCTCACCATCATGCACACGGTGGAGCTGCCGTGGGGCAGTCTGTCAGTCTGTCAGTCTGTCATGCTGGATCTGGGAGGCTCACTCAGCTTCACATTATCCAGAGGCCCTGGATGGAAAACTCTAAGGTCTTGAAATCCCAAATTGTCATGGCTCCATCGATGCCAGTAGTGCAAAATTTGCGACAGTCTTGCTTGTCCACCTCATAAATACTAGATACTTGAGTGATGCTATTCTGGTGCAGAGTCTCCGAGGCTGTATTGCGGTCCTAGGTTGTGGCCCTCTTGCTCATGTTGCAGAAGCGTTCCATGGCAGACATGTTGCGCTGGATGCTCTGTTTTGGAATGTCTAGCTGGGAGACGAAAGTCAAGCAGCTGCGGTCATCATAGCTAAAGAGCATTGGGCAGCAGTCATGGCGGGCGGCTCCAACGCTATTCTCCGAGGCAAATGACACACTCAGGAGGGCCAGGAACTCTGTTTTCAGACTTGAGACCTGCACTCTTTTTGAGACATCGGCAACAGACACGGTGCTGTCGTGGCTGACCCAGGCCAGCTGACTCCCACTGGCTGAGAAGCTGACACCATGCACCCAGCCACCAGTACCACAGCCACCAGTACCACTGCCACCAGTACCACTGCCACCAAACTCTGACATCAGCTGACCAAAAGGCATCTTGCTGCCCCAGGGTGTACTGGCTGGCTTTCCATCCACTTCTTTAATGTACGCAGAAAACACCCTGCATTTGAAATCACATGATCCTGAAGCCAGCAAAACATTGTTGGGATGTCAGTCCAAGCTGAGGACCGTGGAGCGAATTGGCTTTTTATAATGTTCTTGCTTACCCACTGGTCATTTTCAGACTCAAAGTAACAACAGAAATGAGTCTTGCTCCACTTCCCACAGCAAATTTGTTCTCTAGTGGGGACCACTTGACAAAAGTGGCTGCACGGTTAATTCTCAGGATCACCAGGGTTGGCTTCCAGACACCATCTTTCTGACTCCAGACACAGGCATTGCGGTCTGCCCCGCAAGTGATGACGCGGTCGCTCTTGGGAGCCCAGTCGATACCTGTGATGTGTCCGTTGTGCTTGAGTTCCTGAGCTTTCACCCACTGGCTCCCGTTCTTTTTATAGATGTGAGCTTCATGATTATTGGGGCTAAGGCAATCTGGGTACGATCCCTGTTCCAGGCATGACAGGTGATTGGCTCTAGTAAAAATTGATGCAGGGACATTATTCTCAGTGGTTTCAAAGGATAGAAAGCTGGGGTCGGGGCAGTCCGGACCGGCTTGGAGCGGAGAATTCGCGGACTCTGGTCAGTCGACGCGAACAGGCCCCGGCGGGCGCTGGCAGAGGACCCTATATTATTCTTTATATCCTTTCTGTATACTTGAAATATCCCATGAGTTAAAAAATTCATTTACTTCAAATATAAGTTAAAAGTAGACATTTGTTTCATGAGACAAAGATTTCTTTTTTTTATTTCTTTATTGGTTAAGGTGTTATAAATGTGTCCTCATCCCCCCATTAACCCCCTACTCCCCCCCCCCCCCTCATGCTCTCATCCCCCTGTTGACAAAGATTTCTTTTAGTGTCTATGTATCTGTCAACATGTAAAGTTGATAAACATCAACAGATATTCACATAAATAAAGGTTGGGTGGGGAGACAAAAAATGCTTTATTGTTTTTCATAGTGGCGGGGTCTTCTCTCCTCCACATCCCCCCCCACAGAACCAGGTCAAGTTTGAATAATTAACCTTTGATAGAGCCAATCATTCCACAACTCTATAAAGCTCTAACACTGCTTAGAAAATACTTACTCCGCCTGGAGCCCGACGGGTTTGAGTTGAGGCCTGGAAAATCCTTGGCGGTTCATCTCCTACTTTGGAATAAGTCATAACTGAGGAAGAGGTAAACGAATGTCCATTTGGATCCATTGAAAGGTTACCCTACAAATATAAATTGTGAATTCAGAAAGTTTAGTCAAATATGCAGAACTAATGTCAGAGAACTCAAATAAGTAATAACACAACCAGAAGTTCTACTAAGGATACTATGCTATCGGTATGGTATATACAAATGGCACTACCAGGAAGGTCCTAACTTCCTTCCTTTTTAGCCACCAATTCCCACCTCCTAGTGAGAAATACAAGCGCGTCACTCAAAGATCCTTAAGTCTTTGGGATCAAAGACCTATGGCTTAGACTTAAATATAGATGCTGTGATACTTTTAGTCAGTGGTTGATGCTTATGTGCTAGTTTGCCAAGGTTGAGCCAATTAACCATACACCAAGAGTTTTATACCTCCTGTGGGTACCAGATTGCTAATTACTAAAATCATTCTGAAATGATCCTTAGATTTCAAATTAGAAGATTAAAATAACATGGGCCTTCTTCAGATTGAATCAAGTTATTGTTTTGATGTGAATATTGAGTAGAAAAGTAAGAATGGTAGGACTAGTATTTGGATGACATGGATCTAATTCAGTGTCTAAACATCATTCCAAAATTTTCAGAATTTTTTAAACACTAAAACTTAATTACTTAGATGATACAATTGCTTTTAAGTAGACAAAGTTATAAAATAATTTAAAAATCTAAATTCTTTTAAAATGTTCATTTACAATAGTGACCTTCAGCAGAACAAATGCTTTTGAGGTTGAATTTTTTTAATTTTGAAAGTTAATTCATGCTATTTTTCTCAAACTTGTTGGTTGTGGAATCAATTTTGTGGGTTGTGACCAGGATTTTTTAAAATCTGAAATAAAATAGAATATATCAGCACATATTGTAAATAATATGATCATTTTCTTAAACTTTTTCCAGGTATATTTTTTTTAGCACGCAAGTATTGTGTACTGTATCATGACATAGGACATAAATATATATATATTTTTGGTGAAAGTGTCATTTTATCACATCACTATCAAAGACAGATGCTATGAATAAGATATATTTTTAACTACTGTGTATCATGGTTTAAAAGATTTTGAAAGCCACTATAATATCGGGTACCAGTAACTGAAAATAATGTTCTCATCAATGTTTTAGTACTTACAAAGTTTCTTTGTAATTCCTGCATACTGTTTCGCATATTTAACATCATTCGGTCCACTGCCTGAAAAGGGCTGACATCTGTATGCTACAGGATATTAGGAAGTATGTTATTAACTATAAGTATAACAGGATGGAAACAAATCACCCATTCCAAAACAGCTGAAACTTTTTTTCTCAATTTATGCAGTGGGATCTCATGCAGTAATTGACCAAGCAAAGATAATTTAAAGACTATACAATGAAAATGATTTGTCAAAGAATATAATTAAAGCATACACAGAAATCCCAAATAGCCAACATATAAATGATTAGGGAGCCATAACACTATAAATACATGCATACATACATGTATGTACACACACACAAACACACAGATATAGAGGGTGGGGCAATAGTAGGTTTACAGTTGTGAGTATGCAAAACACAGAGTTTATTCTTGTATTATTATTTATTAACTAGAGGCCCGGTGCACGGATTGGTGCACCAGTGGAGTCCCTCAGCCTGGCCTGTGCCCTCTTGCAATCCGGGACCCCTTGGGGGATGTCGGAGAGCCAGTTTCGGTCTAATCCCCGCAGGCCAGGCTGAGGGACCCCACTGGTATATGAATCCGTGCACCGGGCCTCTAGTATGCATATAAGACCTTTGGTTAATCTCTTCCCGCCCTCTCCATGTCTGTTCCATGTTTCCATATCTGTAGTTTCCGCTCCTGCGTTGAGCATCTGCCCCCTGGTGGTCAGTGTGCATCATAGCTACTGGCCAGCTGGCTGGCCGGCCAACCAGTCGCTTAGGCTTTTATATATATAGATTATTGTATTATTTTCCATATGAACAACTGTAAACCTACTTTTGCCCCACCCTGTATGTGCAAGAACATATAAATATATACACAGTATCATTCATCAACTTTCTTAAAACATATTTAGCTAATATATAAACACTGATGTATTCTGGGCTGGGACAGGTCTAGCATAGACTAGTCTTCAAATCTTTCCTTCGTCCCTCTCTTAATACCCCACCACGCAAATAAATAAAACTTGGGCATAAGATACCTGTGTCACCCCCACCAGGACCACAGGGCTGACAGAAGTTGAGCCAGCCCTTCTTTTCATCATTGTGGGGTCCAGGTGATAGAGGTTCGCTCACTACCAATTTGCCGCCTACCACTGAAGGCTCAGAGGGCACACCCTTGACGCCTGACGCATGCTCCTTTACGAGGAGAGCTGAGAATTCCTCTAGAACAGTGGTCCTCAACCAAGAGAGACTGACTCCAGGGGGGTTATCCAGGGAAATACTCAGTTTTGTTTGTCAAGACTGAGGAGGCTGTATGACTGGCATATAGTGCGTAGAGGCCAGGAATACCGCTAAACATCTTACAAAGCATAGGGCAGCCCCCAGCCTGGAGAGCATTATGTTACACAAAATAAAGCCAGTCAGAGAAAGATAAGTATCACATGATCTCACTCATATGTGGAATCTAATGAACAACATAAACCGATGAACAAAAAACAGACCCAGAGACATAGAAGCATCGAACAGACTGAAAAACCTCAGAGGGAAGGCAGGGGAGCATGGGTGGGTGGGAAGAGATCAACCAACGAACTCATATGTATATATGCATAACCCATGGACACAGACAATAGGGTGGTGAAGGCCTGGGTTGAAGGGCGGGGCAGGGTGAGAGAGGTCAATGAGGGAAAAAGGGGACCTATGTAATACTTTCAACAATAAGGAGTAAAAAACACACTGACTTTATAATTATTAAAACACAAAAAGAATTATCAGCCCAAAGTGTCAGCAGCGTCACATCTGAGAAACTGCTCTAGAAAAATCTATAATAATTTTAGGTTTTATCACTGGAATATTCACCAGAAATTAAAAAGCAAAGCACACATTCTAATGTGCCACCCAATGCACTGTCTACTACTATTAAACAGAGAGAAAGTTTGGTTCAAGTCACTCAAGCAGGAGGAGTCTTTCGAGTCCTGTTAGGCACTGTGATTCATGCTGATATTTCAGCCCTACTGGAGGTCCTTTTGCTGTGTGCCAAGCTAGGACTCAACAAAAAATTATCATAGGCCTATTTATGGTTTTGCCCGCTGCTGGGTTTTTATTGCTAGTAAAAAAAATGGATGGGAAAACCATATTCCCATAATTTTGTTAATATTTAGAACACGCACTTAACACAGTACAGAACACAAATGCACATTGAGGAGATACTGATACATCCTTGGGCTGCAATATAATTAACCTGCATTTCAGAGATTCAGGAAACATTCTAAATAACCAGGCTGCAGGAGAGACACAATTCTTAAAGAGCTGAAAGGGAGCTGGCCCAAGGAAGAGGAGGAGAAGAGGGAGAAGGAAGAAAAGAAGATCAGATGTTTGGGTATATTCTGCCCTATGCTCAATTCACTGTCAAATCAGCCATCAAGAGATGTATCTGTACCTTCTCTGGGTGGCCCAGCACCTTGGAGTGACAAAAGTAGGAGTACAAAGTACAGCTGAGAGTCCAGTGGGCTCGCAAGGCCTTCAGGAACTTTGTACACATGCTCTCCTCTCTGCCCAGAACGCTTTCCCCTGACTCAGCATAGGTACTTTCCGCCCAGCATTCGAGTACTACCGTCTTAGAAAGACCCCCTATCTAAACCAATCTCTGCTCACCTCCCTCACTGTATCATTCCCCTGCATCATCTCCTTCAGAGTACTTGGAAGTACTTGGACGACCTGAAATCGTGCAGTTGTTTCCCACTCGATAAAAAGAACCTCTGAGAAGGCAGGGCTGTCTTATTCACTACTATACTCCCAATACTTTAGAAACACTTCCTGCCATATAGGAAGGCTCAATAAATATTTGCTGAATGAATAAACAAATTCTCTCTAGCTCAGCTCAAACCCCTATATCCAACTATTTACGAGATGGGTAAATCTACCCAGGCAACCCACAAATGCCTCAAATACAAAAGGCCCCAAAGTGAAATGATCCTTTTGGCCATTCCTGCCCTCATATCTACACCATATCAATGCTCTGTCTTATCTCAGTGGGATTCTCTTTCTCTACTGCTCCTGTAACCCTATCAATCACCAAGTTCTATCCATTCACCTCTTTAATTCTCTCAATGAGATTATTTCTCATGATCAGCACAGCCATCACCCAAGTAGCAGTTGTGAATACTACTCACAACACTTTAACAGCCTCATGACTGCCCTGCCTCCACTGTGGTCCCTTCTAATTTCTCCCTCCCCTTCAAGCACAATGATCTGTTTAAATGAGAACCTGACTCTATTACTATTTTGATAAAAACTGATCAACTGCTTCCTCTGCTCTTATGATAATGTCCACAGTCCTTACCAAGCTGAAAGAAGTCCTCGGTTACCCCTCCATCCTCCTCTACATCGACTCTCCAACTCATACTCTGGGGCCAAGTGATCCTAAATGTTCTTGCGCTCCTTAGCCTCCAGGTCTTTGCAGGTGCTGCTTCCTCTGTGTTGAGGACTCTTCTGCCCTCCCTGTTTTTCCTGGCTAACTCCTCCTAATCCTTAAGGTTCGTGGAGTCTTCTCTGATTGACCTCTATCCCCCACCCCCAAAGGGTTACAGGCTTTTTCCTATCTGTGCTCCCACAGCATGTCAAACTTCCTATCATTTTACTGATAACTCTGTTATAAATGCTTCTTTTCTTTGTCCCACTGAAAACTCTGATCAGGAAGGTTAAACTTTAAGGAGACAAATAGTTGAAGTCGGGCACAAGAGAATTAAAAAAAACTTTTTCATGAGAGTGTAGATGCATCCATAGGAAATGTTCCAAAGTCATGCTATTCTCTGCCACTCCTCAGACTGCCTTCCAATGTGTTAGAAAGTAGCATTACAGAAAATAGGACACGAGCCCAAAGAAACAAGGTGGGAGAAAAGCTGGGTGCAGCACAGGCACATCTGGAAGTGGGGAAGACAAAGCAGCACAAGCTGCCAGTAGAGACGGAGAGAAAGCAGCCGATCTGAGCTTTGCAGAACGTGCTTGTCCACCTAAGGGCTGGTGCTGTTCGCCTGCTGGAAAGTCATCATAAGCACGTCTCCAACTTGTAATCCCTTTCGGAAATCAAGTGAACGCTCATTCATCTATTAAAATGTACTTTTTATTTTTGAGGACTGATTTTATATATGTGGATAGGACTTACTTCAGAAAACACATGCTAACACACTCTAAAATAAACTTAATACGTGAAACAGGTTTTCAGTACAAATACTAAAAAGCCACTACTATAAAAGTAAAGCTGCATGCCAATTCAATTTGCTTGAGTTAATGAAAAATAAATATGTTAGGAAATAATGCTAAAATGGTTTTGTCTCATGATACGAACCATACCACCAAAACTGCCAAAAGGCACAAGAGAATTCACTGCCTAGAAAAAAATCCAATTAATTTGGTTATGATATTTATTATATGATAATCCCGGGAAAAGAAAGAAATGCACTATATACTCACCTAGTTCAGTGCTAGTAAAATTATGGAACCTTTTAATCAAACAGAACTCAGCATATATTTTTAAAATTCCCTGCTTATTATTCATTGTACAGCCTGACAGGAGCCTGGCAGGCAAATAGGAGACACCATATATCACTTTTAAATATGACTACTCTAGTATTTATTAAAGGCAGTTAAAAAGTATTTGCTATGGCTTAATACTCACATATCTCAAAGGAAAAGCAAATTCACACCAAAATTAATTAAAACATAATGTACAATGATTAAGATTATATCATCTTTCCTTTGCTCAGCTATTCCATATTTTTAAAAGATCAGTTAATCTTGCCTGTAACTGATTAAAAGTAAAAATCTATCTACATTAATAACATTTCAAAAGATTAGTAGAGATATTGGACAAAAATTTTAATAAATACCTCCTAAGAACTAATTTATGAAATAAAAAATACAGACTTCAGAAAGGATCACACACATAGATGTAAAAGTATTTACGGCCTTCAATAGGCAAAAGAATGTTAAGTGTAATAGATAGAATAATAAAAATTTATAGTTCAAAAATTATACTCCTCAATAGCTAAAGATGAAAAAAAAAATTAGACACATGTATACAAATGAAAAACTTTCATTACTTGAGAGTTTCAAATGTTGAAAATAAATTTTGAATTTCTGGGTAAAAGCTATATATATATATAGTCAGTGATAATTTTTTTCCTGTGTAACTTATGTTGAAAAATAGAAAAAACTGTGTTTACATTAAAAATTGTATATCAAATGATATATACTTATTACTGTATATCTACAACAGTAATCTCCAAAGTGTCTTGGATGCACCAATAAAATTCTTCTATTTCTTGTCACTGAAAGAAAAATAATACCTCTTTTTATTTCTTTTTATTGATTCTGGTACCAACACTCAATCTAAATGTCAGATGCTCACATGTCACATCTTGAATGATAAATTGCCTAATTAAATACATTTAAAGATTAAATTATCTAATTTTAAATAAAATTAATCTTCTCAAAATGGACAACTGGCTTAAAAATAGCCCCATAAAGAAATCATGAACTGAAGAAAATGCTAACAACACAAACCCAAGGAAATGGCATAGCTGATGCTTCTCCGACTTTTGTAGGAATCTCTGTTTTCCCTCATAATATGGCTGGTGAAGATGACAAATGTCAAGAAATGGCCCCCCCAAAAGAAGAAAAACAGGTTCAAGGTGTCTATTTAAAAGCATCAGCATAACGGCTTACTGCTCCACCAAAACACTCAATTTGAAACATAACTTCACAAAAAGAGAGAAACTTTGTATTAATAGGTCAGCTAGCATGCTCAAAAAGCCTATTGTTGTTTTGGCTGTGTTCTTTCAAACTTAGCACTACTCTCTTTCATCGTCTGCAGTCAATTTCTAATTTTTGTTTTAAGCACAAGTACCCAGGAAAAAAAGATTAGGTTCCATTTCCAGTGAACGACCAGCAGCTTACAGCTGATGTAGACAGGCAGCCTCAGTAAGAACTTTATAGCTGAATTACAAACAGATCTACGTAGTATACTTACTTACAAGGGAATAAAATTGTCACTTCTTGCTTCTTTCACAAAAGCTATGAGTAGCTCATTTAGGACATAAATACAAAGCACTATATAAAGCTCTATTCTTCCCTTGCTCTGGTTATAGCAGATATACAAAATATTTCAATGGTCATGTGAAAGATAAAATTTTAGAATGTTACATTTGATTTTTCTTCCCTCTTTGATAATTTATCCTTTGATTTTAATATTAGACTTTTATAGAAGTTGAATATATATATATATGGTAAATGTAATTCTGTCCATTAAACTTCTTAGAAGTATTTAAAATATTTTGCTCTATTTAAGATGATTGAAAACAGAAAATATGAAAAGATGTTTTTGTTTTTTTTTCCTGGAAGATTCTGGAAGTTTTCTAATTGATCAATTTAATGTTCACTGAGTTCCAAATATCTACATTCCAATTGCAGAGATTCATCTTTATAGAAACTTCTATGGATTTGTTACTCTAGAACTGCCATTCCTAAGGCTGAAAAAGCAATAGAAATAAACAGAAAGGAAAATAGTCAAGATATATTAAATACCCTGAGATTTTTTTAAAATTTGTTTTTATTTATTTCAGAGAAAGGAAGGGAGAGGGAGAGAAACATCAATGATGAAAGAGAATCATGGATTGGCTGCCTTCCGCAAGCCTCCCACTGGGTACTGGGCCCACAACCCAGGCATGTGCCCTGAAGAGGAATCAAACTGCGACCTCCTGGATCATAGGTCAATGCTCAACCACTGAGCCACACCGGCCGGGCCTGAGATATTTGTTGTTGCTATGAGTATGGTTGCAACTTAGCTTTGCTCTCAGACAAGAATTAGGAAAATATACTGCAATTATGCAAGACTTTTGAATACAGTTAAAAGTTAATATAAATTTTGAAGATCTAAAATTTTAGATTGGCTTTGAAGAAGTCAATTGACTATGAAGAAGATTGGCTCTTCCTGGTCCAATAGTGATAATTATGCTATAGTTTTGGCTGCTATTTTGAAGTAGAAAAGAAAGTATTGTATGGGACAGGAAATATATGGCCTTGCTTATTCTAATTTAAGACATGGGAGGCATTTCTAAGGTGAGAACAAATCATACATATGCATATGAAAAACAATGCTTTAAATTTGGCTTATAATATATAACCATATGACCCTAAAAGTTTAGGTAGCATAGTGAAATGCTATATAGCTAACAGTTCATTGTTAAAGGGTTAAGCTTTCCAACAAGTCCCTCCCTTTATAGAGTAGTTATTTCCATAGCATAAGTATTAGTCATATCCTATCATGATAGATACATTTTTCTATAATACCTTTCTTAAAATTCCCACTAACTTTAAAATAAAGAACTTACAGTCAAAAAATTTTCCCCATCATCACGTCCTGAACGATTATGAGCTCTTCTTCTACCATCAGAGATGCTAAGCAAGTCTCTTCCAAAAGGTTCAGAAAAACTTCTCATCATCTGTCGCATACTTTCTCGGTGTGCATGAAAAGAATCACTGTTGAAAATCATGTAAAAGTAAGTGTTGGAATTTAAATAAGTAATAGGCAGATAAATACAACAATGAAGTATTCTGAGCTAAGATGTTTGTTAAAGTGACAAAAGAACACTTTAGAATAGAATCCTATTCAATAAAAGCCTAATATGCAAATTGACCAAATGGTGGGACGACTGGCAGAACGACCAGTCGCTATGACACACACAGACCACCAAGGGGCAGATGCTTAATGCAGGAGCTGCCCCCAGCCCACAGGCCCCAGGCTGGCTAAGGTGGGTGCCAGCAGGGCCCCCCCCAATTGCTCCACTGGTCACCTCACAGAGGAGGTGACCAGCGGCGGTTGGGGGCCGGGGCTGGTGAGTGGGTGGCGCCACGCCCGCCAAGGTGGGTGCCAGTGGGGGCCTCCCGATTGCCTTGCCAGTTGCCCCATAGATCGGCCCTGATCGTCGACCAGGCCTAGGGACCCTACCCATGCACGAAGTTCATGCACTGGGCCTCTAGTTATATCATAAAAACCTACTATCCATAAATACAATTTATAGATAATCGATATCTCATAAAGACCTACTATGCATTTGGCCAGACTGTTCTTTTTATTCACTATAATTCACTTATGAATAATAATAAAAATATATCTTTATTTATCCTTTATGATATAAAAATGTTAAACACAAAGTAACACATCTCTGAAAATAAAGTGTTTCCTATAGAAACATGCAATTTAGTGAGTCTTGTTTTTCTGATTGCATTACATACAATTGGGTTAGAAATTTAGCAACTAAATGTGGCTAATTTAAAATGTTGCCCAGGGTTCTCTTTATTTAAATATGAGTAGGTATATTTATATGTAGGGCAAATGCTAAAAAAGAAATCTTTATTTTTTGAGTGACATGAACAAAAGGCAGCCTGTTGGAAAAAGCATTAAGATGAAAGTGGGCTTGCAGCCTGGCTTTTGCACCTGTCGGGACCACTCAGGAAGAAATCTGGCTGGACCCTGAAGTGAGTGCAACTCACGTCTACCCAGAACAGCAACTGCTTGCAAATAAGACTTCAAGATTTCTCTTGTTCAAGCGTGAATTCTTTTTCATCAACGCTAAAAATCTCTTGCAGTAGTCACCAACTGTTTTAATGTGTTTTTAAATTAACCTCCTACAGAGTTTATCAGGTGAGAAGTTAATAGTTTTTATATATTTCTATCTATTCATATTGTTCTCCTTTGAAATTAATGTTTCATTCTTTCAGGAAAACTTTATTATTTATTTATTAAATTTTATTATTTATTTATTATTTATTATAATTTTATTTATTATGACGGCCATACTGCCTCTTTCAAGATCACTGACACAAACCACAACCAAACATAGTGACATTTGGTACTAAATGTACTTTTTCTACTCCATGTTATTAATCTATCACAAGCTAGGAAAAATAAATTGTTACCCCCATCCCATCAAATTTTAACTCTTAAATTGATTCTGGGCCTGTTTGGAATAATTTCAACATAAACTTTTTTTTAAACTTAATTATTATTTTTTTTTTTAGAGCTAGAAGAAGGGAGAAGGAAAGAGAAACATTGATGCGAGAGCCAACCATAGATTGATTGCCTCCTGAACACCCCCTACAAGGGATCAAGCCCACAACCCCCACATATGGGAATCAAACCAGCAAGTGTTTGGTGCACGGGATGATGCCCAACTAATTGAGCCACACCGGCCAGGGCATGAAAGTTGGCTTTTTTTTTTTTTAAGGGCTGGTATAGTTTCACTTCAGAATAAGTCCTGCTTTTAAGGCTCAAATACAAATATACATATGTATATATCCACATGCACATATATATTTGGGGGCACAGCTTATAATTTTATTTAGTCTGTATAAGAATATAGATATTTATACTTATAAACAAAACCATTACATTATTTATTACATAAGGGTCTCAGATTGATATGGCAATCCCATTCATCAAAGGAAATTCCTCCCTCCCTCCCTCCCTTCCTCCCTCCCTCCCTCCCTCCCTCCCTTCTTTCCTTCCTTCCTTCCTTCCTTCCTTCCTTCCTTCCTTCCTTCCTTCCTTCCTTCCTTCCTTCCGGTCCTTCTTTCCTCCCTTCCTCCCTTCCTTCCTTCCATCCTTCCTTCCACTATACATACTAGTAGCAAAAGCTTGCTTAGCCAGCAGATTGTTATGATCCTCATAATAATAAAAAAATGTTCCCTAGTTTCAATGAGGTGTATGGGTACATAAAGAAAATACATCAGGCGATCCAAATTTTAAAGCTAGAAATAATACACATAACATTCAAGAAAATCTTGAGGGCATGGACCATAACTTCTACAAATTTATGTTAGAGTCCACAGGGCTGAGCATATAGTAGAAACTTAAGAAATATGTGGAGAATGAATTACATAGCTACAGGCAATCTATTTTCCCAATAATTAGAAGCACAGTTTAAAATGATAGTATGGCATAAACCTTTGATACTGAGTTGTAGGAATGACTATGATCCCTCCCATCCTATAAGTACTCTCCTACTTTTGCATGATTATTTATAACTAGTGGCCTGGTGCACGAAATTCATGCACGGGGGGGTGGGGAGGAGTGTCCCTCAGCCCGGCCTGCACCGTCTCCAATCTGGGACCCCTCGGGGGATTAGGCCTGATTTAGGCCTGATCCCACTTCTGCCTGCCAGCCTGATCGCCCCCTAACCGCTACCCTGCCGGCCCGATTGCCCCCAACTGCCCTCCCCTGCTGGCCCAATGGCCCCCAACTGCCCTCGCCTGCCAGCCCGATTGCTCACAACTGCCCTCTCCTGCTGCGACCTGCCTCCTCCACTGTGACCCGCCTCCTCCACGTGAGGTGGAGAAGACGCCAGGACCGGCCTCCTCCACGCTGCATGGAGCCGCGGGACTCCCAGACCTCACCGCATGAAGCGGCTGCTGGGCCCCACCTCCGCTGTGCGCGTGGTCATCTTGTGGTGGCCATCTTGTGATGATGTCGCACATGAGGGCCACCTAGGCTTTTATTAGTATAGATGTTTACTTTTATTTTTAAATACTAGAGGCTCAATGCACAAAATTAGTGCAAGAGTAGGCCTTCCTTCCCCAGCTGCCAGCACGGGCTTCCCTCTGGCACCTGGAACTCGGACTTCCCATGCAGCCCTGGCTTCGTCTGGAAGGTTGTCCAGAAGGACTTCCAGTCTAATTAGCATATTATGCTTTTATTATCATAGATGTATTTTTTAATTGATTTTGGAGAGGAAGGGCAAGGGATAGAGAGATAGAAACATCAATAATGAGAATCATTGATCAGCTGCCTCCTGCAGGTCTTCTACTGGGGATTGAGCTGCAAGCCTGGCATGTGCCCTGACTGGGAATCGAATCATGAACTCCTGGTTCATAGGTTCATGCTCAACCATTAAGCCACACTAGCCGGGCTATAATGTTTATTGATAGAACTAAGCATTAAGATATGATTAGATGCTATCAAATGGCATTTCTTGACCCAGCCAACTATGTCATAAATGTGTTGTACTCCTTAACTACCCAATGAACCAAAAAATGCACCAAATCAAGTATACCTTAAAAATTATTTCAGTGTAGGGTTTATGGTACCTCATTCTATAAATATGATATCCTAAAATATGTATAATTAAATTATAAGAAATATCCTTATAAAAGTATTTCTGAGAACATACATTTTTAAGTGCTAAACTCACAGTAGCTGTTAGGAGTCTTAAAATGGGACCCTGAAAATGAAAACTTAAAATTTTAGCTAAGTACTCTAAAGCTAACTTTATTAAATGATTAGAATTAGAATACTATTTAGCACCAAACTACATCATCTTAATGAAGACCTTACCTCAAACTATATGTCTGAAAACAAATATGTAAGTAACCTCAAACATTGTTCACAAAAGTTTATCTAGTAAGGTACTTTTTATTTCCTGCTATGACAATATTCTCAAACAAGAAAACATCAGTCAAGCCTGCCAGTGTGGCTCAGTGGTTGAACGTTGATCCATGAACCAAGAGGTCGCGGTTTGATTCCCTGTCAGGGCAAATGCTTGGGCTGTGGGCTTGGTCCCCAGTAGGAGGCAGCCAATTGATAATGTTTCTCTCTCATCAATGTTTCTATCTCTCTATCCCTTTCCCTCTCTTTCTAAAAAATCAATAAGAACATATTAAGAAAAGAAATTATCAGTCTATATCTTTCTTGTATATGAAATACATTTACTTTCAACTCAGTCAATGAATATGCCAAAAGAAGTGTCCTCCAATTATCTCCAAATTGCAAAATGAAATTTTAAAAAATTTAAGTAGAGATTATAAAAATGTAAGTTTCAGCTTCTGTGAAGATCTTAAGGAAATGGAAAAACAAAATCCTATGAATATATGCAGTTCTTTGACCAAAGACACATATGGTGCCCATATGAAGAGTTGGGTGCCTTAAGGAAATGCTAACAATTTATGATTAAAAATAAGGCTGATAGATATGTCAACCTGCTTCTGAGCCTTGAATATTTAATAGCTTAAATATTCAGACTTGCACGATCAGAATTCCATTTCTGTAGCTCAGAAGACCATGTTTCTGTACAAAGTAGAAATTTTTAGATTGTAATATATGCAAACTTTTATAGTAAACTAGAGGCCCATTGCACGAAGAGATTCGTGCAATAGGCCTTCCTATCCCTGGTTGCCGGCACCGGTTTTCCTCTGGCACCCGGGACCCAGGCCTTCACTCTGGCTGCAGCGGAGAAGCTAAGCCTCTTCAGTCTTCTTCAGTCGTATTCAGTCTTAGCTCTGCGTCTGCATATGCAAATTAACCACTATCTTTGTTGGGTTAATTTGCATACTCATCCTGATTGGCTGGTGGGTGTAGCGGAGTGACACCAATTTGCATGTTTCTCTTTTATTAGTGTAATCAACTCTGTTAGGGTATAGGATAGATACCAAAATAACTTTAACCTCAAATTAGTTTTCCTGCCCAAATATACACATATTTTTATTTCTTCTTTAGCAAATACAAATGGGAGGGGAAAGTAGCATCTTTGAGAGAAAACTGCATGCCAGGAAGTACCACCCATTGTTTTTTAGCCTTTGTGTTTTTAACCAAATTACAAGTATTATTTATTTACAAGGTATATATGAAGGTATGCCATAAGTCGATTTTCATTGAAATAACTTCAGCTCAGCAACATAAGAAGATACAAATACAAAAAATCCCAAATATATAAAACAAACTAACATATCACTTTTAAAGTTTCTCTTTAATTTTTGGTTGAAATTTAATATGTGCTATTATGTGAAGGTAAACATTTAAAATGAATATATTTGAACTTAAAACCACATATTTTAACTGTGTTTTTACTCAGATATTTTAAGCATTTGACAATTTGACCACAGTATTTTACCAGTCCCAAACTATTTAATAATTATAATTTTATATCCAAGAAGTATATAGTTTTAATCTTCTCACTTTTAAATAACTAGTAAAGTAACAAAGTGTGCTTATATTGATATCCTTGGTTCCGAACTGATGGATTATTTAGGAAATGGTACTGTTCAAATTAGAAAGTGCCACATCAATAAGGGCATCTGTTGAATGCAAATAATTGCTTTCAGCAATAAATACCAGAACAACGACAAGACAAAGAGTCAAGGACACCAGATTATCATTACACAATATTTATTGAAAACTTTCTACGTATCAGACATTAAACTACCCACAGGGAACCCAGTGACCAGACACATAATGTCAGCAATGGGGATAATGCTTATATAAAGATGGCATGAATTCCTTATGTTTGACTTATATTAATTAATGGATATTCATTTCATTTGAGTTTGGGTTAAAATGGGTAGGTCAAATGATGTTACCTGAAATATATATAAACTCACAGGGTTTTTTTTATTTTCCTCTAACCTCTTCAAAGTGCGTTTACTCTCTATATAGTTAGTTGTGGAGCAAAGAAATTACAAGCATGAATCAGTTTTATAAAGTTAATGACAATAATTTTATCTTACATTTTTATGATACAGCTTCCTACCTTTAAAGAAGGGATGACTGAACTGATGTTACACGGGCATGTCACTGATGGTCTTTTCCACCCTAAGCACAGGGAAGCGTGTTCTTTGAGGCATGCCTACTATTTGTAGTCTGTTACTATTTCTGACCCTGACCCTTGGGTTCATTGCCTTTGCTCAAAAGAGTCACCTAAGAGTTTAAATTACACTTTTGCTAGACAGCTTAAAGAAGGTACTAATTATACATTCACAGTTTAGTTAAGGCCATTGCTCTTTTTGATACGATCAAGGACATAATACAACAGAAAAGCTGTGTATCATAATCTTCTTAACCCACTGTACTGAGGTCACAATTTCATAAGAACCACTTCAACAGCTCCACTAATCTATGGATATATTTAGTCCCTACTCTCAGAGGCTTTTCAAAGAGCAGATCATAATACAAACTTTGAAATCTGTTAAAATGGCACTGGTTGTAAATGTCCCGATAGCTTCTAAACAAGTGAACTAAAACAGCACAATGAGTTTGCTGTTTAGTGAATAACCTTCAGAAGAGTTGGTACAACTGAGCTTTTTCGGTCACACTAGAAATTAAAGTCTCCTGCAGGTATTAATTACATTTTCTATAGTCCTCTTTGTTTCATTAGCTTTGGTTCCTTAAATGTGGGTGTAGCTATTCCACTGTTAATTATTCTCTCAATTATTACTTTGATGTTATATGGTTTTAAACATTTAAGTCAATATTTTCCTTTAAGAAAATCTACATGGAAGGTAAACTGTTAACATTTTAACCTTGAAAAAACAGGGTCCCTAAGTTGCCTAGAGAAATAATTTAATTAAATTTAATTAAAAGAAAGATCTAATTAAATTAAGGACACCAAGTTAAAATTCAAACTGGCAAAACACTTGGGCAAAAACGGATCACAAATCTTCCTGTTCTAGGGACGCAATTACATTAGATTATTACTTTTCTATAATCACCAAAAGAAGAATTTTTTTTTTAACCAGAAAACTAGATCATAATGGAACAACTAATTCATTTCTGGATGTCATCCTCCTAAGGCATCACATTAATTTCACTTGGACCGGTCCACGGGTTGGCACCTGCTACCTGGGGTGTTAAATGCACCCTCTCCCTGCTTCCCTGCCCTCTCGCACTGCTGACCGAGGCAGCGTCCCTTCCCGAACAAGGCCAGCTTTGCAACAAAGCGAGCAAGAAAAACAAACACTGCACATGGCAACTCCCACGCCCCTGGAGGTGAGAGGCAGCACACCTCTCCAACTTCGTGGTGCGCTCAGAAACACGATTAAAAGTGCTGTTTTAGAGAATGTTTCCCTTTTCAAAGAACTGCCCTCCTACAAGGCACTCCGCAGCCCTCATTTGGAGTTGACACAGGGGTGGGAGGTCCTGAGAGCCTGCATCCTTCTCGCCATCAGTTCCACGGGGGATGGCCGTTACCCAGAGGCAGTTACCGCCCCCGCAAAGCCCCTGCAGCGGGGAAGCCGCACTCCCAAGGAGGAAAGCCAAGGGCGGGGTGCGGGCACCGAAGTCTGGCCAAGTGAGAGCAGCTCTCACCCCGGGTGCGGGGTGCAGGGGAGGGCTGCTCAGATCTGGGCTCTCCTCACGCCCCCAATCCTCCTCTCCTCCTTCCTCCCCCCAAGTCCTTTCCCATCCCAGCTCCCCAAACTCTTCTCACTTCACCTCACGGACCCAAACTCTCTTGCTTCTCTCTACGCCCCCCCAAACCTCCTCTCCCCTCCCTCGTTCACCCCTAAGTCCTCTTCTCCCTTCTTTCTCACGCCCTCCCCCCCCAAAGTCCTCCTCTTCCTCAAACTGCCTCCCTTTCGCCCTCTCAAACTCGCTCTTTCCCCTTAAAATAGTTCCCTAGAAAAATCCCTAATTGCCGCGCGCTGGCGGGGACACTCACGAGAAGAAGGGGTCATCCTCAAACCCGCTGTTCAGCATCCGGAACATGCTGGCGGTCGGGGCCGCGGCGGAGCGGACAGGTCGGAGGACGGTGTAACTCGCCGCAGCCACGGCTGGACCCGGCCGGCCCCGCACAGTCCGGGCTTCTAGCTCGGCTCCGTCGGTGGTGGCCGCCCGGAAAGGCGGAGCCGGACGCAGCGCTGATTTCCCATTGGACGCTGGTTCCCCGACGTCACAGAGACGAGGCGGGACAATACGCCGCTGCCATGACAACTGGGATCAACACCGAGGTACGAGTTCGGCCTGGTGCCAGCCAGGCAACCCATCTTCAGCCTCCCCCGGGGACGAGGTAGCTTGTTCTGAGGCCCGCCCGCACACAAAAATTACACCGCCCTCTGCGTGACCTTGGGCACATCGCCCTTGGCCTCGAACTCCAAGTCTCTTTCCAGGAAAGTGGAGATGGGTCAAGATTTGGGCCAGATAGTATCCAAAGACCCATCCGCGGGCCACATTGGGTGACCCACATGAGAGTGTCTTATAACTGACGTAATCTGTGGTAGTTGGTCCAAGCTGTGCACAAATAATGAGAAAAAAAATGTGCGCCCTAACCGGTTTGGCTCAGTGGATAGAGCATCGGCCTGCGGACTGAAGGGTCCCAGGTTCGATTCCCGTCAAGGGCATGTAACTTGGTTGCGGGCACATCCCCAGTAGGATGTGTGCAGGAGGCAGCTGATAGATGTTTCTCTCTCATGGATGTTTCTAACTCTCTATCCCTCTCCCTTCCTCTCTGTAAAAAATCAATAAAAAAATATTTTTTTAAAAAAATGTGCAAATGTTTTTGGGTCCAGTTAGTAAATAGTGTTCTCAGTGCTTGAAGGTAGCAGGATGGATGAGGCCTATCAAATTTCAACAAATGTATTTGCCTTTTGTAAGTCTAAAACCCGAAGCAGTATATACCAAAGTGGGAAATGCCTAAATTATAAGTACACATGGTATTTAAAATGAGAAAGAAAAAAAGTTGCTTTCTTTTTGATCCTCTTTCCAGTCTCTATTTTAAGGAACAAGTGTCACTTTGTTGATGGCAGGTCTTCAACATTGCTCCACCATTCCTTAACCTAACAGCAGGACTCAGGCACGAAGCTTGCAGCAAGCAACTCTATCCAACTGAAATTCCATTATATACATTTTTATTTTAATTATATTATACTAGAGGCCCGGTGCTCGAATTCGTGCAACAGTGGAGTCCCTTGGCCTGGCCTGCAGGATTGGGCCAAAACCAGCTCTCCGACATCCCCCAAGGGGTCCTAGATTGTGAGAGGGCACAGGCCAGGCCAAAGGACCCCATGGAAGAACGATTGGGGTAGGGGAAGGATGCGGGAGGTTGGCCAGCTGGGGAGGGACCACAGGAGGGCTCCAGGGCATTTCCGGCCCATCTTGCTCAGTCCTGGTCGGCTGGAACCCAGCAGCAAGCTAACCTACTGGTCAGAGCGTCTGCTCCCTGGTGGTCAGTGCATGTTATAGCGAGCGGTTGAGTGGCCGTAGTATATCATTAGCATATTACGCTTTGATTGGTTGAACGGACGACTGGTCAACCAGACACTTAGCATATTAGGCTTTTATTATATAGGATGGGAGTGTTTTTTTTTAAGGCAAGTGACACTGGTTTTAAATTTAAAGCACACATTTTCCTGGGGGCAGAGAGAGGGGTGAGGGATGGAGGGGAAAAATGGAGACATCTGCAATACTTTCAACAATAAAGATAAATTTAAAAAATAATTAAAAATAGATTTAAAGCACACATTAATAGCTGGTCTTTAACAGTTTAAGTGAAAAGTGAGATAATTTAAAGAAACAGAACAGTTGGAATTCAAACATGGTGGGAGAGACATCATGACAATGGTACTCATTGAGTTTTGCAAAACACTGTCCTGAGGTCTTCCAGGAACCTAGAGGCAGGTGGAGGAGAAGATAGAAGAGAGGACATTAAAGAAAGAATGATAAGACTGTAAGAAGATGTAAAAATGCACCTTGCACATCCACCTTTAGTTTACTCGACTCCCCAACCTCTCCAGGGTGATTTTCTGTGGGTTTAGAGGGCCATCTATGGCTCCACAGGGCTTCCTGGGATGGAGCCAGAGAAGTGGCACTCAGCCAGCGTGCTGAAGCGTGCAGAGCCTGATTTGGAGGTGGCAGGAGTACTCAGGGGTTATTTTGGGAGCCGGAAATTTAATCCTTTGGACTTTTTACCTCCCCACCTTTAGCCAAGTTCTCTGGTAGCCTCCTTTTTCTGAGACAGGTGGCATGAGGTAGGGCAGACTTCACAGCCCACGAGAAGATAGTGTAGCTCTTCTCCTCTGGCCTCAGAAGGAAGCTCGGGAGGCATATACATATTGGGACATTTCTAAATTAGTTTCAAGGCAAAAAAAAAATGTTTTAGAAGACCCGAATTACTTTCTCTTTAAAATAATATGACCCAAGATGTTAAGGAGGCCATACTTGGGACAAAAAAACTTAAAAGAGATGGGGTAAGTTATTTATGATGAATGACAATATTAAAATAGTTCTGGATTAAGGTCAAATAAAGCAACTTGTGAGAAAATTTCCCCTGTTGTTCCCATGGTGATTTTTCTTAGACTCACATCATTAAACCGTGAAAGCTTTAGTGGCACATGTTAGTCAGGGAGTTACCTGGAGCTTCTAAAAGCAGTTTTGGCCTAATGGCAAATGCTTAAAAAAAAAAAGTTAGTGGAGGAAATAGAGTTGAAGCTAAAGAGACCTCAATCATTTCAGATCTGATGGGTAAGAAGTGGGAAAGAAGGGGTCAGTCAGGAGAGGATGAGTAAGCAGGGGAGAATAGAGATGCAGAGCAAGACTAAAGGGGAGAGGATCCCGGACTTGTCTGTATACAGAATCACAAAAGCTTATTGAATGTGTGCCAGGCACTGTTGTAGGCACTTCAGGTGTGTTAATTCATCGAATCCTTACAAGATATGTATGGAGTAGAGATGGTTTTTATCCCCAGTTATAGATGATGCAACCAACACACAGAGGGGCTAAGTAAATTGCCACGGTTCACACAGATAGTGACTGAACTGGGCTGGGTGCCTGAAGTTCTCCCTAGTGTGGGCTGTTGGCTGGGAATGGGGATGATGGGCCACACTTACAGATTCAGTATGAAAGCAGGTAATTAGTTCTCAAAATCATGCTGACAAACTAAATAATGGGTACAAACTAAAAAGTCTGAAATTCAGTGAGAATATATTCAAATCTATTCAATTTTACAAATATTGAGTGCCTAACCTATTCAGGCACTGATCTAGTCACTGTGGCATTGGTGAACAAAACAAACAAAAATCCCTGTTCCTGTAGTTTATATTCTTGTGAGGGCAGAATGAAAATAAAGGACATGGAAAGTAGTGTGTTAAAAGGAGAAAAATCTGAGCAGGTTAAGGGAGATGGAGGTGTGGAATTATAAGCAGGGCGTTTTGTATAGGCCTCATTAAGAAGGTGAATTTGAGCAAACTTCCTAGAAGGAAGTGGACATCTATCAGAAGAGCATCCCAGGCCAGTGCAAAGGCCCTGAGATAGCATATAGTTGGTGTATTTCATGTGCAGTCCATTCATATGTTCTGAAACTTACCTTCAGATAAATGAGATAAACCAAGTAAAGAGAAAATTACATATTAGGATGATAGCTCCTGCTTATACTTCCTTGTTCCAGGCATTGCATTAAGTTCTCTACATATATTTTCTCATGAAATCCTTGTCACAACCCTGTATATTATAATATGTTTACTCCAACATTATGTGTGAAAAAACTGAGACCCAGAGAAATTTGGTGATTGTCCATTCAAATTCAAGTCAGTTCAAATCCAAATTAGTCCTATTCCAATATGTATAGTCTTTCCACCATCCAACTTTGCTGTCCTCGAAAAATTAACCATTTCCTGAGCACCTCTATGTACTAGGTACTTTTAGATATATGAGCTATAACTACACTAGTACTTATGGTTTACTTGGAACATTATTGACCAAGTTGAGAGAACAGAGAAAAGGATGAAACCCAAGCCAACCCTACAACTCTACTAAAAACACTAAGAGTTCCAAATGTCAATGAGTCCTTTTTTCTTTATTCATTAACTCACCAAATATTTCTTAAGGCCCAATTATTTCCCAGGCACGATTGTAGGCATCGAGGATATAAAACTCTCTGGCCTCTTGGAGCTTACATTCTAGTGGCTAGCTCTTTCACCAGCCAATTCTGCGATCACCCTTGTTATAGCACTTTGGAATTTTCCAAATGCTTTTAAAGACATTATCTCAAGTGCCCAAGAAGAAATAAACAGGCTCTTGAGTGCTGGACTTTCAGACTTAATTATAGCTCCATAAGCCATGGGTGTTAGCCCATTATAAACACCTTTACTTCAGTTAATTTCAATGTGTCTGCGTCTGGGGTTTCATTGTCCTAGTCCCTTTGTCTTAAACTATGAACAGAGGTGGTCTGGAAGTGAGACATCATAGTGAATTCACAGGGGGTGCCATGGGGCATTTAAAATTTTTGTGAGAAACAGAAACTTGAGATTTGTTGGACATTGTACAAACTACTAGCTTGACATAGTTCACATATTTTAATATTAGGTTGTGCTAATTTCCTTTAGATGATGTCATCTTTGAAAAGCTAGGTTTTAAAAAGTTTTTATGAGGACCTGGCCTGGAAGTTCAGTTGGTTAGAGCATCGTCTGGATATGCCCAGGTTGTGGGTTCACTTCCCTGACAGGTCATATACTAGAACAAGCATATCAAACTCGTGGCCCGTGGGACACATGCGGCCCACAATGACTATTTTTGTAGCCCAGTCAATATAACGGTATGTAAGAAACATTTTAATAAAAATTTCATAACTTAATTTTTACAATATCCTGTTATACATAATCTATACTAATAAAATGGTAATATGCTAATTAGACCAGATGTCTTCCAGACAACCTTCCGGACATCCTTCCTGACAAAGCCAGTTGGGGCAAAGCCACCTGCCCCACGATCCTGGGTGCCAGCGCCTGTGGCTACAGCCTGGGAGACAGAGAAAAGCCACCCACTCCACAGTCCCAGGTGCCTGTGGCTGGCCAGAGGGGGTGAAGCCCAAGTCCTGGGTGCCTGC